ATATACCTCTGAACATCCAATGAAAAAGCAGACACTCTATCAACCCACAGAGGCATGGTTCAAAAATTAAAGTTACAGGAGAAAAACAACAAATATTTTCACAAATGCCCACAAATAAATCGAGAAACAAGCAACAACCAGGAAGACAGTAGGACTCCCCAAAAGGGACACATTTCAGAATTAGAATGTGAGGATGAAGAGACTGATGGCTTATGACATAAAGCTCTGGCCTCTGTGTCTAATGGCAGTGGGGGTTCTTCCAATCATGTTGTTGTAGCAGTGCCAAGGGGAGATATTATGGAAAATCTGAATAGTCTCTTGGTGGACCACAGCTAAATAAAGGACAGATTTTCAAAAGGTTAAAACAAACAAACAAACAAAATAGTGTTTGAGATTTACTAGATACTATCAAACAACGAAACATGTGTCTTTGGAGTTCTTCCAGGTATGGAAAGGGAATGTATTAGAAGGCCTATTCAGTGAAATAATGGCAGAAAAGTTCCCTAACTTGGCTAACAGGACACTGAAGTACAGGAAGCACATAGAACTCCTGGTACATATGATCAGAAAAAGATTTTCATCATGAAACACTGTAGTCAAACTTTCAATAGTAAAACATAGAGAAAAAGATTCTAAAACCTGCAAGAGAGAAACACCAAATTGCTTTAGAGGACCCCCAATTAAACTAACAACAGATTTATTTTCAGAAACCTTATGGACTAAGGGTGAATGAAGAGACATGGTCTAGCTCTAAAGGAAAGAAATTGTCAACTCAAAACACAACCCCAGAACGCTCATTTACAAATAAAGGTGAAATAAAGACCTTCCAAACAGCAAATGAAAGAATTTGTCATCACTTCTCTAGATTTATAATTATTATCAAGGATGTGCTATAGAAAAGGACTGATGGTTGTCACTTTAAAAAAAATGTGGAATGATGGGCCCAGCGCAGTAGCATAGCAGCTAAAGTCCTCAGCTTGCATGCACCTGCATCCCATATGGCTGCCAATTTGTGTCCCAGCAACCCTGCTACTCATCCAGCTCTCTGTTTGTGACCAAGTAAAGCAGTCGAGGACGGCCCAAAGCCTTGGGACCTGTGTGGAAGACCAGGAAGAGGCCCCTGGCTCCTGGTTTTGGATCGGCTCAGCTCTGGCCATTGTGGCCACTTGGGGAGTAAATCAGTAGATGGAAGATCCTCTTCTCTGTGTATCTGCCTTTCTAATAAAAATAAATAAATTAATAAATCTTTAAAACAAAAAGAATGTGGAATAGAAAAAAAAACCTTGAATGTTAATTACCTACGTTCTTCAATTAAAAGGTACTGAATCGCTGAATGTATTTAAAAGATAGGACCCATCTATTTGCTGCCTACAGGAAACATACCTCAGCAATAAAGACATACACAAACTGGAAGTGAAGCAATGGAAAAAATATTGCATGTTAATGGGAAGGAAAAATGAGAAGGTGTAGTCATATTAATATCAGAAAAAAATACATTTTAACACAGAAACTGTTTTAAGAGACAAAGAAGGGACCTGGCGCGATAGAGTAGCAGTTAAAGCCCTTGCCTTGAATGCCAACATCCCATATGGGCGCCGGTTCTAATCCCGGCAGCTCCATTTCCCATCCAGCTCCCTGCCTGTGGCCTGGGAAAGCGGTCAAGGACGGCCCCAAGCCTTGGGAGACCTGGAAAGAAGTTCCTGGCTCCTGGCTTTGGATCAGTACAGCACTGGCTGTTGTGGCAACTTGGGGAGTGAATGAATCATCGGATGGAGGGTCTTCCTGTCTTTCCTGTACATCTGCCTTTCCAATAAAAATAATCTTTAAAAGAAAGAAAGAAAAGAGACAAAGAAGGACATAAAATAATGATTAAGAGTCAGTTCAAAAAAGGTAAGAGTACATGTGTATGTAAATGTATATGTACCCAGTGCCAGAGGGCTGGCTACTTCAAACAAACGTTAATGGGTCTAAATGGCGCCAGTGCAATGGTAGTGCGGGACTTCACACACACTTTCATCAACAAACGAAAGACTTAATGTACACTATGGATCAAATATAGCTGATATCTACAAGACATTTCATCCCACATTTGCAAAATATACATTCTTTTCATCAGTGCTTGGAACTTTCTCTAGTACATATCATATGTTGGGCCATAAAGCAAGTCTCAGCAAATTAAAAAAAAATTAAAATAATTTAATACATCTTTTCTGATCACAATGGAATAAAGCTGAGATTCTACAAAAATATGCAATTACAGGGAGAATTAATAATATGCTGTTAAATAAACAGTGGATAATAAAAAAATTAAAAGACAATAAAAAATTCCTGAAAAATAAGTGAATACAACAATGCAACATGTAAAAGCTTACAGAATATAGCAAAAGTAGTATCAAGAAGGACATTTTAAGCAATGAGTGCCTACATCAAGAAATCTGAAAGATCAATGAGTTATCCATACATTTCAAGGATCTGAAAAAACAAAAAACCAAACCCAAAGTTAGTAGGAATAAGTAAATGATTAAAATTAAAGAAATAAGCAACATAGAAACAAAAAGATACAAAAGATCAGTGAAATAAAGAGCAATTAAAAATTAAAAATAAACAAACTGATACACCATCAGGACAACTAACTAAAGGGAGAAATAGAGGAAGAAGACCAAAGGCATTAAATCAGAACCTAAAGGAGATGCAACCACAGAAATCAAAAGAATCATCAGGAATTACTCCAGACAGGCATACATCCACAGACTCGATAATCCTGAAGAAATGGGCAGATTTCTGAATACATAGAACTTACCAAAATTTAGTTATAAATACCTAAATAGACCAATAACAAAGAGACTTAATCAGTAATCAAAGTCCCCAGCTCCTCTACTAAAGCAAGCCTTGGAATGGATGGTTTCATGGCTGAATTCTATCAGACTTTGAAAAAAGAACTATAATTTTCAATGTAGAACAACTGGAAGGGAAAGAATTCTTTTAAAGCTTGCGGCCTGGTGACTCTTGGGAGGCCTCCACTTCCTTCTGCTGAGGCTCAGTTCGAAGATTTGTTTAAAACTTTCATGAAGAATCTGTGCACGAAGAATTTACCAAGCTTCCAGTTGAATTTCTTTCAAAAAGTGATAGAATGGAGAAGAAGGTTGATTCCAGGTCTTTCAGGGTGGTGCCCTTGAGAAGCCTTATTCTCCAAAGATGATATCCAACAAGAAATCCGCCTTCTTGGGGATCCGGAGGAAGCTGCCCAGTACCAGCCATCCAGCACAGCATCTCCCCTCCCAGACTGGGGCGCGACAGTGCCGGTTAAGAGAATTGTGCATCAGTGGCTAGTTGGAGGACTTGATGCTACTCCTTATATCAAAATCTTCAGAAGCAAAGGGTGTTGAAGAATCTGTGGACATAAAATCTGTAATTTTACTCATTTGCTTCAGTTGTGCCCTATCTTATGTAAAGTAGAAAGATTCTTCCAGAGAAAGCTGACATTAGGTCCAAGAAAAAAATGATTGATGGTTGTGCACTAAAAATTATATATATATATATATTCCTACTATAAGAATATCACCTTAATTCTAAAACCAGCAAGATACAACTAAGAGAACTACAGACCAATTTCCCTGATGAAAATAGATGCCAAATTATTCAACAAAATATTGGTGAATAGAATCCAACATCATATACAAAAGATGACTCAACTGGACTAAGGATTTATTTCAGGAATGCAGTGGGGGAAATGCAGGGTTGTACATAAGCAAGTTAGTAGGTGTAATTCATTACATTAACTGATGAATAAAAATCATATGATTGACTAACCAGATGCAGAGAAAGCACTTTATAAAGCTCAAACACTTGATCTGCACTCTGGTAGGCAGCAGGTGATAGTTGAAATACTTGGGTTCCAGGCACCCATATCAGAGACCTGGATTAGATTCTGGGTTCCTGGGCATGGTCTGTCCCTACACCTCCATCCTAGCTGTTGCTGGCTGCTATTTCTGGTCAGTGAAATACCAGATGGAAGATAGCTCTCTGTATCTATCCTCGTCCCTGCCTTTCAAATAGTTAAAGTGAAAATTAAAAAATTGTACTGGCATGAATATCTTGAATATAAAAATTTTAAAACTAATATCATTTGCCAAAACAAAAATACAGTCAGTGCAGTTTTCTGACATTCAAAAAGATACCTGATACATCTTAGCTAAGATTGGAAACTCAAAGGTTATTTAAAAGCAAATATTTTGGTTTGGAAAATATACCACAAAATACATTGTGAAGAAAAAACATCTGTAGCACATTTGGCAATGTAATACAGAGTTACCATTTAATAATAAAAAAGTAACATTAAATGCAAAAATAAGCACATTAGCCATGAAAGCAAATTATCAATTTTAAGCATGATCAGAGAAATGCAGGTCAAAGGAGTAATAAAATGACTTTATATGTAGACATGCACAATTAAAACAAATTACGTGCAAGTAAAGACTTGCTCAATTAAAAATGGATGAGGATGCAGGAAAACTTGAATTTAAACAAAGTTCAAAAACAAGGTGTTGTAAAAATTTTAAAATGTACATGATCTTTGATTTAGCACCCCCTTGGAAATTTACTCTGGGAAATATTCATGGGTACAATAAACAAAGCAAATGTTCCTTAGTTTGGTAATCATAAAACATATTCCTTAACCTCTGAAAAACAGAGTAATCTTTGTTTATTTTGAAGTTAAGAGTTAACACTGAAATGTTTAGGGCACTGTAGGTGAAGCAATATGCCACCTCTAGATGAAGCTGGCTTATTATTATTTCTTACAGTTATCTAATAGGCAGAGGTCAACAGCGGGACACAGAGGGAGCTCCGCTCCAGTAGTTCATTCCCCAAGTGCTGACAATACACATTGTTGGCTAGGACAAAACTAGAAGGTTCAGACTTCATGCAGTTCTCTCAGTGAGCAGTGGGGCCATTATCTGAACCACTATCTGCTCCTCCCAGGATGTGCACCAGTAGGAAGGTGGGTATAAGCAGAACTGTACTTGAACCTGGTCGAGAGTCGTACAGGGAGATGTTGATCCCTGGGCCAAATGGCTGCATCTGGGGAGAGGTTTGGAGTCCACGTGCTACTCAGCAGTTTCCCATCCAACACTGGAATAGCATGGAGCTTGTACCCTTTCTTCCCTCTTCTGAGCATGCAGCATGACAAACACAGCTTTTGGGGGAGAGCAACTCCTAAGATTTCAGTACTGTTACCGTTGTATAATCAGGCCAAGTGGGACTCAAGGAGTAGGAAAACTGTTCAATAAATATGGTTCATCGTAAGAACTTTACGATCATACCAGATGACCTCAGCTGACTTCCACAAGATGTTGCTGAGACAAAAGATTCTGCAAAGCATTTATATAATTATCCTAATCTTTATATATTAGTAGAGATGTGTACAAACTTTGTGAATATGGGGAAAATATTGAAGAATATATATAAAGTTTCCAAAAAATACACTGTACCAATTTAAAACACTCGTTTTATAGTGTGGTCACATGCCTCAGAGTTTAATCGTAATTACAAGTATAACATTGAAATTTTCATATAGAAGTTCACTGAATCCAGATGCTTTGATGCTGAGTGGTTTCTCGATCTTACCTGCATTAAGAGGTCTCCGTGGACCTCGCTGGAAAAAACTACCAAGAAGCCATACATCAGTGGATTCAAAGTGTTGTCTTGTTGGGGAAATTTGGTGGAGATTTAAATTTGCTGGCCTTACTGTAGACTATTTGAATTGAAGCACTTGAGGAAGGTTTAGCAATCTGTATTTTATCAAGCCTTCCAGATGATTTCTGATGCAAACCTGATCACTTATTACTGTCAACTTACTGATGTGCAAATTCCTTCGTTTTAATCTAAATTCCAGTGATGATTTGTGTTTGGACTATTTTTGCTTGTCTTACATCCTCTAAGTCACTTTGTTATAAACTATCAGGTGTCTGTCCTACATCAAATTAACTGACAGCAGACTGGGTGGGAAGCAGCAATGATTGAAAACATAACGAGGTATATAATACAGGCAGTTTAGGTGGTTCCCTCAGGAGCATGTTTGGAAACACTGCCTGCCTAGGTCAATGTAACAAGTTGTTTTAAGTTTATATCAAGAAAAATACTTTTCCTGTGAAGACAAAGGAATGTGAATATTTTATCCTAGCCTAAAGTTTTAATGTATCTATTTTTAAAAAATAAAACACTGGTTTTTAAAAAAAATTTTAATGTCATGTTTTCTTCGGTACTGTTGTTTTACAATTATGTCTTTTAAATTAGTTTTGTCCACTTTTGAGCTCTACATAGTTTAATAAAGGGTTATTATAGATGTAACTGAGAAAAAGTCAGAACTCTTTTGTTCCCGTTGCATGTTTCTAGTACTTGAAATCTCTGCCACTCACATGGAAGATCTGCATTGAGCTTCAGATTCCTTTATTAGGCCAGGCCCGGCATTGGCTATTGAAAACATTCGGCAAGTAACCAGCAGATGGCAGATTTCTCTCTCAGCCTTTCAAACAAAATAAATTAAAATATAAATTTTATTTAAAAAACCATTGTTTATACATATCCAAAAATAACACATTCAACAAGCCCCTATATGGTCAATTTCAATAAACAAGATTCTGCCACATTGTACCTCTAAGAAAATACGGACATTCCATTTTTCTTTTTATCTACATGTTAACCTAGTCTCTAGGATGAGATTGTGAATTCAAAGTCCAGCCTTGCTGGGAAAACAACTTCTTTGGGTTCGGCTTTGTCCTGTAACTTTGGAGTAAAAACAGCATGTTCTTCATTAGGTCATTGTAAGTAATAGGTGGTTGCTCAGTACAAAATAGGCAATAAATAGATGCATAACAAATGAAGCCTGTATCATTTAGGACAAATCACCCATTTCTTGAGGGTCTTTGCATTGCTTATAGGTGTTTATCTCAATGCCTACCAATAATGAAAACATCACATCTTCAGGGAAAATTTCCCTAACCTCTCCAGACTAAGACTATATACTCTACTTTTTACAATATGAGAAATACGTGGAACTATTATTTTTGTGAGACGGATTAAGAAGCATCTTTCCCAATATAACATCAAGAAGTTACATGAGAGAACATGTTATCTGTTTGCTGGTTTATCCACAGTACAAAGTATGAAGCAGATAGTCAACAATAAATATTTAGACTAACACCTTTTAATCTAAGTTCTAATAAATTCTTCTATTGTCATCATGTATATAACCTAACACATTCTATAGTATGCTTGGATGATTTTTCATTTATTTGGTAAGTTAAAAATATTTTCATAATATACTCTATCTTACAAGGGGTATTTTGTACATATTTCTTTAGGAGAAAATGTTCCTAGGTATATGGTTTCTATTACAGTATTCTAAAGTAAAGGATGATAAAATCAAGAGAGTTTAAATTACCAGTTAAGAGGATCAACTATAAACATAAGAAAAAGCCTCCACATTATTTTAAAATCCATTTTCACTTTCATTATTTCTGTGATTTTTTTGTTAGGGGACTGATGATGTTATAAAACAAAATACCACCAGCTCCGTTTTCCATAGAATAATCCACTTGTGTAAAATAATTTGTAGCTTTCTCATGGCAATGGTTATTTTCATGAAACTTCATTTTCCCGTGTTTTTCAAATTTCCAAACCATATATTCAACTATTAAAACCATGTAAAAAAATTTTAATTTCAAAAGCACCTTCTCTTGCTCAACCTATAATTCTTCTCCCTGTTAGCCCAAAGCCAATTCTGATAAGTGGTATTTCTAAGGAAGTTTAGAGTCAATCCAAGAGACAAAGCCATGGCCAGAGTCTATAGTATGCTGTATTCTCTATCTTCTCATTCATTTACTCATTCTGTATGTTGGCATATTAAAGGTTCTGAAATCTCCTGTAAAGAAATCTGTTCAACTTGGTTTAAACTATTTCCCAACTATAATTGATGCAGAATTGATTTATCTTAAAACTAGTACTCAAACACACTTTGACAAGTTTAGATGCATCCCACAAATTGGTTAGTTCAGATCCAATTAAAATTTAAACCACATTCCTTTTAGTGCTACCATGACCACTACGACCTCTGCTTACGAATTCATAAACCACTTAGTAAATCATAGAGAATATATACTATATAAATCAATGCCTAAAATGCACTTTCACTGAAAATGCGGACATCTGATATTTGAGTACTGTAATACTTGGTAAATGCTCAGCAACATCAATTTCGTGACTTCATTAGTGCATTTGGAAGTGGGTAAAGCATTTGAGGGAAGGAATGTAAAGCGCCTGCATCTCTAGGAGCAGGCCAGCTCCTCGACAACCACAAAGAACAAACAGTGATCCTTTCAAATCAGTGAACCGCCACATGTGCACCAGAAACTTTTGGAAATACATGGTGCAATTACCTGTGGTTTGAACAGCTCCCTAAATTATCTTAATGCACATTTATATAATAACCTTGGTTTTGGATACTATCTCACTGTAAGCTTCTATGATGACAAATTAATCATTTGCAACAAGGAGAGTAACAGCTTCTAAGCTTTAAAATCTTTAAAAATTGTTATTTTAGGTGATGGGTTGAGAATATCTAACTCCTCACCCACTGTACTCTGATTTCTTGATAATAATTTAGAGTACTTAACTATTATCCCTTCATCTGCTTTATTTTATATTAAGAAGTAGAGCTACTTTCTTTCAAGCTTCACATTCATACAATTCATCAATAAGCTCTTCCTCTCAGGATAAATTTATATTTTATAATAGCTTATAAACTAATTTTTCCTGAAAATTAGAAAATAAAAAATATGCTACAAACTTACTGGAATATTTCAGTACTCACCGGGATATTTTCTTCTTAACTTTTTATAACCACTTGGCTAGGCAGTCTATTGTATATACTTAGTTCCTCTCCTTTTGTCCTTGAAGTGATCTGCAGAATAAACTTTCACTACTGCTATCTTTATAAAACATACAGCATTGTCCTGCTTGTTCTCAAGGGTTCCATTCTTTTTGACAGTTATTCCCCTCCTTGGTTGCAGTACAACACCACCAAGTCTTGACTTTGTATATTAAACTATGTTCTGTTTATCTAGCACTCTATAATTTTTCATTTTAGAGAAATTTAAACTCACACTGTACTTTATAGCTTTCGGTGAGATTTTAAACATAAATAGTAAATTCATTCATAAGACATAATCTAGATAATTTATACTTCCAAATGAAACCTCCCATGTTTAGTTAAAAGTTTAAGTGTAGGTTACTCAACAAATTAGGTTTATATGGTTTATGTGAATCTGAAAAGATATCACTTAAGTTTTCAACTTTCTTAACTGGTACAGCAACATCAAAGGGAAGGGACTAGTTGAACAGCACCTTTGCTCCTACCAAGAGCTGAGACACATACAAATTTTATGGCTAAGTAATCTAATCTCTTCTAAATATGATTAACTGCTATTCTATCCAACAAGAAAACCAATACAACAGATCTAATTAGTTAAGACACTAGATACTCATCATGCAGCTTCAGTGTCTAGTAGCAAACCTCTAGACCTTAAAGTTCTGTTTCACAGCTTCTAATCACTAATAATACTCTAAAAAGGCTTATATTCACTTGTAACTACATACAGAAATACCAGAAACATAATTACCAAGTGAATGCGCACAATCACTGAAGAGTCTCAAATCTAGTTTGGAGCTCAATATAGCAGCCACTGGAGTTTTCAGTATCTATATAGTAACACAACGTTCAAAAACAAAATTGCACATGGGGGTGGGAGATATGCCACCTATTTGTTTAGTACTCTGAATCTAGAAAGTTGACATTCATTCATGTATATTGTATGTTGAAATACAACTGACTTGAGTTGGCCCAAGGGCTAAATTCTTATTTTAGCTAATCAAAAATTAGCTAATAATAAAGCGTAACTACAAGAAATTAAATCAAAAACAAATAAGTACTTTAGAATAGTTTTTTCAGTATCTTCAAATTCTGACAGAACACTTCATTTAAAAAATTAAGTATGTCAATTTTGACATTGATATAGTTGTTTCTTGTATTGCTAAACAGAAAAAGTGCCAAGATAGTTCAAAACCAGAAAAACATGTAATTGGTAACATCAACAGTGACTCACCTTATATTTACTTCTAGAATTTCACTTATTAAGTGTATCTCAATAGACTTTTTTTTGGGTTGTTACAAACATATTTGTCCACCCAAAAATGTTCATGGGTTTTTATAGAATTAAAAGAAGTATACTCAAATGCTAAGCACAATGCGAAAAAGGGCTAATTTATAAAGAAAATATTAAATTGTTTTTGTTACGCATATATCACACAGAAACTGATTTTTAAAAATATATATGTCAAGTCTGAATGCCAACAGGTTCTGGAGATATGGACGATCCCAAGTGACTTGTAAATCTGTCTTCAAGCCATCAGATTAATTATGTTAAAAAAAATTCAAAATAGAGTTTTGCTGCATTATACAACTGACTGACATATAAAAATAATCTGTACTGAAAAACTCAAGCAAAAATTTTGATGTTCTGGTTACCAAAAAAATAGGAATAATGGAAATAATAGCAAAAGCTATTACAAAGAAAATCCTATTTAAATTGCTAGGTTTGCATAATTTAAAAATGTTTATCAAATAACTGTACCACAGATTATAACATACTTGAAATGATCATATAGAAAAGTAACATGGACATTTGAAATGCAAGCTGCATTCATCAAAAATTTTAACCTGAGTCTTTGATGATTTCATAAATGCATGTGACAATGTTTACAACTCTAGCTGATTTTCATTATATAATTCAGTGTATTTTTCTGTGAATGACCTTTAGTACCGTTTTTCCCTAATCATTTATGTCAAGTATAAATATTACATGTCTTAGATCCTTTGAACATATGGGAATGTGATAAGTTCTTATTATTCTTTTTGTAAGCATAGGAAGATGACTGGTTAGTTCACAATGCCTTATATTTGTCTTATTTTCACATTCTAAGTTATTTTAGAATGAATGCAAAAGATCAAAAAATCATAGCCACTTGCATATTCCCATAAAACGTATCACACCCACTTAGGAATTATACAAGTTCACTAAAGAATATCAAATTAATCATTTCCTCCTATAAATATTTTCTTTTTATTTATTTTGTGTTTAGAAGTTGCAGTTTTAAGTACTATTAACAGAAAAATACATAACAAAAGCTTCCTAACAAGTGAAAAAAATAATTATAAATGCTGGAAAAATTGGCCTCATTAACATATTTACAGACTTACTTAATACATACTCCTTTGGAAGTTAATTATATGACATTTATACAAGCATTAACATTGTCAAATCACTCTGAGTAGTGAACACTTCAGTTCTTTACTGTTTATACCCAAAGCTGAAAGTCATTAGTTTCTGAATGCAGAGCTGGCATGCAGGAGCCATCTGTCAATCTGAGATACTGTTCACATATTGTCCTGTCCCTTCGCCGAGAGATGCTTCTGTGGGGGAAGTATCTTTATGCTTCTTTCTTTCTTTGCTCTGCTCTTCCTGCAGCTTCAGAATTATGTTTCGGATTTCTTCTCTTTTTGTTTTCATTCTTGGGGGAGGAAACCAGTTTGCCAAATTCATAGGTAGCTCAAAATTAAGAATTGGATTCTGAAGATAAAAATATTAAGTGTGTATTACAAAATTATAATAAATAATACATGTGTCAAAAAGTAAACCAATGTTACAAGTTTAAAAAGAAATTTAACTCATTCATTATGCATTTGCTCAACAGGGCAGTCATTTTTCTAGGCACTAAAGGCACAACATAATTACTGACTACAGATCTTACAGTACAATCAGGGGCAGGCCAAATTTTACCTGCTCTGCTAAATAAATTAATGAAAGTATGGTGTGTGAATGGTAACCCTGAACAACAACAGAACTGACAGTAGCCAACAGAAGCTATACAGTCACAAAGACTAAAACATTTACTGTTTGACTCTTGATAAAAATTTTGTCACTTCGAAATCATTCAACTATTAAACTAGGAATAAAACAAATATAACGACAGGGTATTGTTAGAAAGCAGTTCCATGAGGAAGTAATGGTTAAGCTAAGAATGAATAGATGTTAGTTAGCCAAAGAATTGCAGAGCAATACCAGAGAATTGAAGGTACGGACATATGTCCTGAAAACGAGAAGCATGAAAGAACATGACACAATAGAGAAACTGAATGACATTCAAAGTGGACAGTATGTATGAAAGTACAAGAGCTCAGAAAAACAGAACTGAAAGACTACAAAATGCTAGAATGATAGAAAAAACAAAAGGTAGAGGCATGGTAGGATTTGAATCAAGCAGCTGTTTAGACCACCTGAAATGCTTTGATCTTTATCTCAATAATGTAAAATGTAAAGTAGGAAAGTATCATGACATATTTGACGTCTTGGAAAATAATTTTGAAATAGAAAAGGTGAGTGATGGCAGCATAGACTGTAATTAGAGAAAGGCAAGAGTGATAAAGTAATGAACACATTGGCCTTGAATGACAGCATTTTCACTGAAATGAAAGGAGTCTAGGTAATTGTAAAGACTGTCCAAGAGATGTATATGAGATGCATGAGGTATTACACCTATTAAGTCAAAACAAGAAAATGAGGAAGGAAAGGCCAACAGTGGTAACTGGTACTGGGAAGTCAAGAACAATTCTGATATAAAGAAAAGGATGAGGCCAGACTTAGAATTTTTTAAAACAAGTAGGATTTGTGCCAATGGAGAGAATGTACATAAATACTTCTTTAGAAATATAAGCATGAACAAGAGAAAATAAGATGAGAGACTTCATAAGGTACAAAGAATCACTAATGTGGAGAGGGCAAGTTCATCAGTGATGGAATAAGGTCAGTGAACACAGGATTTGAAAACCTATAAAGTCCTAAAGTTTCTCCAATTTATAAGATTTTGCTACCAGGAATGACACTTGAAGCAACAGTTCTCAATTACTGGAAAACATTTTTTCAACTGTTTTCTTTATTCTAATACAAAGTCAAAGTTATTATTTACTACATCAGATCCAATAAACTGCAACCCACCTCAAAAAAACTTTCTACATATTGCAAAACATAAACACCACAGTCACTGAAGTTGTTTTGCTGGGGTACTTTTGGATTAGAGCCTTTCATAACATCTTTGGAAAAACTTCTTTTGCTTCCTTTCTTAACTTCCCATTCCACTTCTAAATACCTGTAATAATGCACACACAGTAAGAATATATATATAAAAAAATATACATAGTCCCTCATTGCTATCAGTATACAAAGTGTGAGGTGTGATTTTGAACTTACTCTCTTAGAATTTTGACAACATTTGATCGGGAAGGTCCTCGCAGTGAGTCCATAAGTAGGATACAAGGCCTGCAGGGTAGAAATGATCAAAAGTTGAATACTCACATAATATTACAAAAGCATACAGACAAAAAGTAGTATACTAAAAAAATTTAAAACCCTTAAAACTCCCCTCACATGTTTCTGTAAATACTAAGGGAAAAATAAATGTTACATATGTAACTGAATAATACTCTAATTTAGATGGTACTAAATTACAGATTATAGAATATTACTAGTTGTATTACACAGAAATTCCATATTTGGCTCCTAAAAATATTCCAAAATTTGGTAAAAATTAAAAATACATATATGAGTTAAATGAATACTCATTCCCTAGACAACAAATGAAAAAAACATTGGGTCATGTTAAAAGAAGGTAGAGTCTCATTTTTAAACTAAAATGAACAAAACAGAGAATCAAATCAGTTTTAGGATGATGCAGTGTTTTGGTGAAATTTCACTTCAGAATATAGTATAAGTCAGGTTCAACTTTTATAATCTTTAAGAAACATATTTTACTTGATAGAGACAGAGTTGGGGGATGAAAGAGGAACAGGGAAAGAAACGACCCATTTTCCCAACCAGCTCCCCCAAAGTCTGCAACCTTAACAGCCAAAATCAAAGGTAGAAAGAAAACAGGGCAGGCTGGGGGTGGGGAAATAAGCAAAGCCAAGAATTAGGAACCTGACGGAGGTCTCTCACACGGTGGCAGAAGCCCAGGCAATCAATCACATACTGCCTCCCAGGTTATTAAATGTAAGTAAGAAGATAGAATCAAGAGCACACTGGGACTTGAACACTCCACTGAGTAAATGTCTGTCAAAATTTCTTAATGGAGCTTCTATTAACATCTTCTATAAGCAATTCAAAGGGGATTAAGTTTAGAAGAAAGCACTATTTCAGCAAGAAGTTCAGAGCTTCTGGAGAGAACCCAAGCAAACCTGTACTTAATAAAAACCAACACCTGACTCACTCTCATTCGGGTTCCTATCTAGAACGTGCCTTTGAGTTACACCATAGCCTTCCCAAAGTAGCTATGGAACAAATATGTACTCTAAATCCATGTTATTATTTCTGGGAAAGTGTATTCTGCTCTAAATACTATCAAAATAAGCATTTGCATCTATGCATAAAAAGGCTAGGGAATTTAGCAAGGGGAAAGGGGAAAACAAAAGATTTCTGGACAATATACCCCAATTTTCCTCACTAATCATTATTAAAATAATGAATTTTGCTTGCATGACTGTAAAATAAAAATTATCCAGTTATGCTTTATTCCATGAATCTATTTAAAAAACCACCATGCAGTATGCATGATGAGCCGTGAATGCTTGCTTACTGTTTACAGATGGTGGGCTTTAAATGCCACTGTCCTATTTCTGAATTGCAGTTGTCATCAGCAAGGAAGCCATCATCACTGCTATCGTCCTATAAAAGACAGCCTACTGTTATTATAGAAAGTATACAATCTAAAAAACGAATAATTGAACAAAATAGTACAATTAAATAAAAACTGTTGTAACAAACATGTAAAAAGATATCTATTCTTAGGTGATCACATATTATAAAACAGCATACTATCAAATTGTGATTATCTAATGAAAAGAAATTATCAGAGGTTTATGAGAAATTGTTATATTTACTCATTCTACAATAATTAAAGCTTAAACATACTATGACTGACTAGTTTCCTGCCAAATACTATTGTTCTAATTTTAGTTTATTTTTTATAAAAATTTAATTTGTTGGCTCAGACAGCAGTTTCACAAAAGTACATAAACAACCATTATTCTTTTACATAATTTTCTTCCAGAAAAAATTTAAATTTATTTTTTTCCAAAAATATTTAAAGGACTTTCTGGAAACACAATTCATCTTTGACAAACCCAGAGTCTGCTTCAGAGAAAATATTATATGGACATTTTATCTTATCTTGTACATTCTCTTCCACAGGCTGCTTCAGCTCTCTGAAGAAGCTGCTGGTTAACTTTACTAATGAAATAATTAACATTAGGAATAACAGTAATAATAAAGCAGTTAAATTAGCTAATTCACATAACAACTACTAAAAACAAAGGAGACTAAGGTGAAGTGCCCACTATATAGCGTAAATATAATTCCCATACAGGTTGAATATTCCTTATCTGAAATAATTGCGAGCAGAAGTATTTCAGACTTCAGAATATTTGCAAGGACTTTATTAGTTGAGCACTGCTAATCCAAAACATGGGCATCATGTTGGCACTCGAAACGTTCCACATTTCAGAGCACTGTGTATTTCAGATTAGGAATTTCAACCTGGAAATATTGGAGAGAAAAGCTATATTCTACAAGCATACATCATAAACCAAGGGATATCACAAAAATTTTGTTTAATAAAAAGAAAACAAGTACAATATAGAACCATTTTCACTAGCAGATAAAACAACAATGAAGTTTATTACAATTTTTAAAAATCCAAGGAATTAAAGAAAGTGGTAAAAGTATCCTTAAGGTTTTTAAAGCTTATTTTCCTAACAAAATTTCCTTTAACTGAACTTGTCAAATAAAAAAATACCTTCAGAAACATACACCATTCTTTTTGTCAGCTAAATTCATCAAGCAAATGAGACTAAGCAGATACTGGAATTCACTTACGTCAATTTGGTTTAAATTCAATCTACACATATCATTTTATACACAAATACTAAATTTTGGATGGAATAAAAAAGTCATAAGAAAAATGACATAACCTGATGTAAGACATAGTCAAAAAGTTCAGCATTTGCTTCAGATGAAGTATGTCTATTTGACAGTAGCAAAATCATCAAAAGGATTAATGCTTTTAGCACAGAAACTTCTGACTTAAAAACTGAATTTGTTTTGAGATATAACTCAAATCCAGAAGCATTGAAGATTTTGGTTTAAGAAATTATAGAACTTGACAGAAAGATCTGTAATTAGATAATTAGAAATTTTTGCTAAGCATTACATTTTACCTGGTTATCCTGCTCTTCAGAGAAGTCAATAAGTTCATCTTCAAGCATTTTACCACTTTCAGCTGACTCATCACTATAACTTAGTCTGATTTTGCTTAAGCCATCTGTTTCAAAAGAAGCATCATACAATACTTAACAGGTCATGCTAATGTCAATGATGATGTACCTCTAAGTATATAAAATCTGCTTTAGTATAAAATACAAGTATAAAATAAGGATACTTACAAAAACCGTAACAACATATCAATCATAGAGTTGTTCCAACACTCAGCACTTAAAATTCAGTAACATTAAAAGCCTAGGTTATGAATTAAGTAACTAAATATACACATATTAAAATACAAATATATGTACACACTTGTATATTTAAGTAAGCATTTTTGTGCTACTCTCTGAATACATGATTAAATAGTTAAGTTGTGGGTATCTGGCCTAGCAGTCCAGTGAGTGGCTAGGATGCCTGTGTTCCATATTCGAGTGTTTCGGTTCTTTACGTAGTTACAGCCTGATTCTAGCTGTTTCTTAAGGAAGGATCTGGGGAGTCATCAAGATGGCTCAATACCCTAACTCCCTATCACTCATAGAGCTGACTTCCTGGCCCTCCGCTTTGGAGACCCAGCCCTTGGCCATGGAGGGTATTTGAGTGTATGAAAAATTGTTCATTTTCATCAAAGAAGCCAATTCCACAATATATTGAAACTTAAGATTTATACAACAGGGCCTGGTGGCATGGCCTAGCAGCTAAAGTCCTCGCATTGAACGTGCCAGGATCCCACATGTGCACCGGTTCTAATCCCGGCAGCTCCACTTCCCATCCAGCTCCCTGCTGTGGCCCGGGAAAGCAGTCCAGGATGACCCAAAGCGTTGGGACCCTGCACCCGTGTGGGATACCCAGAAGTTCCTGGATCCTGGCTTCGGACTGGTATAGCATCGGCTGTTGCGCTCACTTGGGAAGTGAATCATCGGACAGAAGATCTTCCTCTCTGTCTCTCCTCCTCTCTGCATATCTGACTTTCCAATAAATAAATAAATCTTAAAAAAAAAGATTTACACAACAGCAGTGTAAAGAGACAGAAATTTTAAAATTGTGTAAAAAAGCATTTGAGTGACATATATTCTAGCCATATCTCCATCTTCTGCTTTACTCTGAATGCCAGGACTGGTGAAAGCCGAAGTTGGGAGTCAGGAACTCAAGCCAGATTTCCTACACTAACGGCAGGAATCAATGACCTGAGCCATCACCGCTGCCTCACATGGTATGCATTGAAGGAACTGGAGTCAGGAGACACAGCTAAATACTGAATGCAGGCTCTTTGAAGTGGTACACAGGTGTTTTAACACAAGGCCAAATGCCCACCTGTGAGATAGGAGCTTTAATACCAATTAACCAAATCACACAACGTAATATTTTAAAATTTTAAAGAGCCTGGCTTTCAGGTATGTTAGAATAAAATTTATTTTGATGGGTTATAAAAAAGGGAGTTAGGAATATGAATGTAAACAACATGGTGTGGGAGGGAAGCAAAATACATACATACCTAAAAACACTTGTATTAATCTCAATGCTGTGATCAGAAACATACTCTTCCAATAACCATCAGGGACTGCTGTTGTGGCATAGCGAACAAAGCTACCACCTGAGACATTAGCATACCATTTACGTGCTGGTGTGTGTCCTGCTTGTTCTACTTTCAATCCAGCTCCGTGATAGTTGCCTGGGAAAAAGAGTAAAAGATGGCCCAAGTGTTTGGGGTCCCTGCCATGCATAAGAGAGATGGAATGAAGCTCCTGGCTGCTGGAACCAGCTTGGCCTACTCCTAACCTTTGCAGCAAACTGGGGGAGCAAACAGAAAGACAGGAGCTTGCTTTCTCTCTGCAACTCTTCCAAATAACTAAATAAGTCTTAAAAAATATGAAACAGAAACAGCTAGTAAGTGCAGGGTAAACTTTTGTTACATAGAGAATAATCTCTTTTAACTTGTCCTTTGCAAAGTTTGTTCAAAGTAGAAATAGTTGAATAAAAATTGTCCAACTTCTTAGACAAGTATTACACTATGGTTATTTCTAACAGAAAATCTTCCCATTCTGTAGAAACTGTGGTCATATGAACATCTACCTGACAAACTAAGCTAAATATCCATTTCAAAACTGACAGAAAAATGAACCATGTTGGCAATTCTTCCACTATCGCATTCAATACGTTACTGCTCTCTCAATCTGTGTCAGTTCTTCTGAAATTTTCTTTAGTGATTTCTATTTCTGGAGTTTACTACTTCTGGAGTTTCTACTTCTGGAGTGTGTGTGTATGTTAAAGAAATGGGGAGAAGCACAATTTTACATGTTATTTTAGTGGAAAGTCAGATTTACAGAGAAAAGGAGAGATAAAGATCTTCCAATTGCTGATTGATTCCCCAAGTGGCTGCAATGGCCAGAACTGAGTTGATGTGAAGCCAGGAGCCAGGAGCTTCTTCCAGGTCTCCCACGTCTGTGCATGGTCACAAGGCTTTGGGTGATCCTCTACTGCTTTCCCAGGCCACAAGCAGGGAACTGCAAGGAACTGGAGTGCCTAGGACATGAACCGTGCTGATATGGGATCCCGATGCTTGCAAGGCAAGGATTTAGCCACTGAGCCATTACATTGGATCCATACACATTTGTTTTAAAAGATTCATTTACTTTATTTTAAAGAGTAGACAGTAGACTACCACCCATTGATTCACTCTCCAAATGGTCACAACAGCTGAGGCGTCAACAGGTCAAAGCCAGGATCCAGGTGCTTCATTTGGGTCTCCCACATGAGTGGCAGGGGCCCAAGCATTTGGACCATCCTCTGCTGCTATCAAGGTACATTAGCAGTGGAGCTAGATCAAAAGTGGAACAGTTCGGATTCAAACCAGTGCTGCATGTAGGCTTAACCCACTAAGCCATAAACCTAGCTCCAACACATATTTTTCATATTCTCTGGGAAGTTAATTCTTTCATGATGCTCAGCTGAAGCATAGCAAGTGAAAGCGGTGAAAACAGGCATTATTAGTTTCTGACAGCAAATCTTAAAAACCTAAGCTCTGAGCAAAAATTCTACTCACATATATTTGTGATTTTAAGTACTGGACAGTTAGCACACATCATGTTAATCCTGTCAACTATACCGAGACCAAATATAATTCAATTACTGAAATATTAATCAGAAAATAGAGGCTTTTACAGGCTTTTCTGTTTTAATTGCTATCACTGAACAAAACTATGCAGTTTGAAGTAGTAAAAGAGCACATTGAGGGAGCATTCCAATTTACATACAATTAGGTAATTCCTTGGAAATGTCTAATTAATGCCATGAGATTTTGTGACTGAAAATGTGAAGACTCAATTTTTAGCACCATATATTTCTGTGGGACACTATTAGCAATGGATTGTAGCAAGTGTTAAAAAACATAAAATACAGTGTTACACACACAAGCATGTGTTTGCTTTAGAATTTTTGGATTTTTAGGAAATTAGGCAAATATACTGAAAACAAAAATGCATAAATTATGATGAAATCATAAACAAGATAAAAACCAAGAAATTATACCACATAAAAAAATCACTTTATATTAGTTTCCAATTAAGATTTCAGATGTTGTTTGCTCAAATTTAAGTGATTATTATTTGGTCCAAACATTAATTTATAAGGGAGGGTAGCTGGACTCTCTGAAGTACCAACATATGAAGTTTTATGCTTTGTCCTATTGCTTTAAATCATGTACTTTAAGTTTTTATTAATTTAGAAGCCTCTGGCTACTTGTTCTTTATCAGTCCACAAATTGAGAAGAATGATCTTATTTTGCCTTGTTGATCTGACTCTGTAAATACAATTTATGGTGAATACACTAAATTTTGTATGGGAAACCCAAATTCCTGTAAATGAGAAATGTAAAGCTTATAGTGGCCAATACTATGGCTCAACAGGCTAATCTTCCACCTGCAAGCACAGGCATCCCATATGGGAGCTGGTTCTAGTCCTAGCTGCTTGACTTCCAATCCAGCCCCAGCTAATGGCCTGGGAAAGCAGAAGAGGATAGCCCAAGTCCTTGGGACCCCACACCCACATCAGAAGTCCCTTCTCCTGGATTCAGATTGGCTCAGAACCAGCTGTGGTGACCATTTGGGGAGTGAACCACTAGATGGAAGATCTGTCTCTCTTCTCAATAAATTTGCCGTTCAAATTAAAATGTCATCAAAAAAATCAAAAACAAACAAACAACAACAAAACCGGTAAGCTCATAAAGGGTATCTTGCATCCAAAATACTTGGGACCAGAAATATTGCATATTTTCCAGTTTTTAAAATTTGAGGGTGTTTGCATATGCATAATAGCTTATCTTGGTAACAGGACCCAAATCTAAAGATGAAGTTAATTAGAACTCCACATGCACTTTATATACACAGATTGAAGGTAATTTTATACATTTCTTAGTATGCCTGTGTTTTGATACAAGGTCAGGTGTGAAACTTTAGGCCAACACAGTGGTACTCAAAAATGTGTGTATTTTGGAGCATTTCAGATGTCAGATTAGGGATGCTTAAGCCGTACTACAATTTCTTCTTCTTTATTTTAAGAGATTTATTCATTTGAAAGTCATACTTACAGAGTGACCAGACAAAATCCTTTCTTCTGGCAGTTTACTCCCCAGATATTTGCAATAACCAGGACGAGGCCAGGCTGAAACCAGGAGTTTCATTCGGGTCTACTACTTGAGTGACAAGGGCTAAAACAAAGGGTCATCTTCTGTTTCTTTTTCCAGGTCATTAGTTGGAAGTTGGATTACAAGTGGTGCAGTTGAGATCTGAACCAGTGCCCATACGGGATGCTTGTACCATAGATGGTGGTTCAACCCACTATGCCAGGTGGGCCAATGTATTAATTCCAAACTGCACTTCCAGAAATCAGGAGAGGAGAGTGTCAACAAAGGGAAGCTAAGGGAACTTTTATGAAATGATGGAAATGTTCTTAATTTTGGTTGTGACAATGACTGTGACTGCTATATGTACCTATCAAACAGGTACTAACTATAGTGATGGAATTTCCCTCAATACTCACAAATTCTAACAAAAAAAAGTTTAATATTTCAAATAGCATTAAGTTTTATTTATTCTGAATTCACTCATTCTTTTAAAATGTTTAGATACATACCTGGATGGTGTATGGAACTTAAACTTTCATTCTGCATGCCATTCTCACTTTTAGTCCTATCAACAACTTTCTGACATGGTGATGTTCCTCTACTTGAGTCTTCAATTTCACTTGCATTATGATTTATTTTTTTCACACTACATTTCACGCTGCATGTGCTTCTCCGAAAACAAGGGTCACTTTCTTCCTGCCCAGCACTGGAATCAGTTACAGCTATACCATGCTTTTTGTTTAGCATCTTCTTAATTACAGGCTTGGCAGAAGAGTTTTGTGAACAACTGTCCATTTCATTGGCTGAAGGAGGAGAAATACAACTGTCTTCTATAGTTGAATATTTCTGCATAAATGCATTTTCATGGTAATGAGGATTAGGTTCGTACTTTGGTTTTTCCAAACCGGGAAAACAAACAACAGCCAAGAACCAGTGTGCACTGTAAAAACAAAAAATAAATGAAACTGCTAAATAAATCATTTCAAACTTTAACTATTTTGGCAATAAACATCAATTGAGATGTTTCAAAACTTTTGCAAATAAATTAGGAATTTAAAAATTTTTAGTCTACTTCTTAGGATTGTTGAAGAAGAGAATACAGTATCTTGGAAAATTTTCTTTTTGGATGTGAGGTGACAGTTCTCCATTCCTTTCTACCTTTCCTTTCTAGAAAGAGAAATTTAGCCTCAAGATGAAAATATCTTTTGAATTCTAGGCAGTATAATTCTCAACTGCAAAAATAATTTAAAATTTTAATTGATATCTGAAACTTGCACACATTATAGGATGCTATGTGACATGTGACACATGTACTCATAGTGTTATTCGCCAATCAGAATAAACATATCCACCTTTTAAATTTTAACATTTCTTTGCCTGAAAACCTGCAATCCTTTTACCATTCTTTAAGAGAAATACAGTGAGTTGTTATTATTGGTAGTTACCCCACTGTGCAAAGGAATACCAGAACTTCTTACTCCTTCTTGTACTTTACTATCTGTTAATTTTCAACATTTTAAAACATTAAATTTTAAACATTAAACATTATCTGTTAATTTTCAACATTTTATTTAACATTAAATAATTTTTTTTTACCATGAATCTTTTTTTTTTATTAATGAGAATAGGAAAGGCTTAGTATTGATATACTAAAGGCTTTAATATACATAATATTCATGTTGTATTAAAATGCAGATACCATGACAAGGAAATAATATATTTAGTTGTTATTATAAAACTTCAAAAATTAGTAAACAATTCTAGCTATCAAGCAAGTGGCTCCTAATATAGCTGAATTCAGATAACACAGTTCTTAACAATAACCAGGCATTTTGGGCTAATATTCATGTCAAATTTTTGAGAACACAGTGCTATTTACTGGATGTAAAGAATGGGTTACAGATGTCAGTGAATTCATTAGCCAAGTAAAATTAAAAGTCACTTGCTATAGCATTCAATGTCACTAAATGAAAAAGGAAAAAAAAAAGAGTATCTTGACATGGATAAAAGTTATTCCAAATTCTCATTACTATAAAATGTTAGATTACCCCAAGCTAGCAGTATCTCTTCAATAGACAACACTGAGTAGAAAGGCCATAAAGGCTGGTTTCATTTCTAATATTTTAAAGGTCAGGTGGATAAAAGTTTCTCTTATGTTCTTAATAATTAATCCTCAGTATCTTCTGGACCTACGTTAACTAACGCTAGAGTAGTAGAAAATCCTCTTTTATCATCCCTAGGTAAAGTGACTCTAAGTCATTTAGAAATGTTAAGATATCAAAAAACATGTTTTAAAAACTGCTAAATACAATATGATACTGTGATTCTTACCTTACAGCTAGCTATATAACCTTAGTCTCCAATACTTTTTAAAAACTATTTTTAGCTATTCCAATATAGGTTAAGCCACATATTTTGCTGCCTTATCTAAAAATTAGGTAATAAAAGAATTTTTTTTTTGCCTGACTCAGAAAAGGAAGCTGAATCAAATGGTTTCTTCCATTCTCTTTTACCAACATAAACTTAAAAATTACCAGTGGAGGAAGAGACTAAAACAGGCAAACATTTAATCTGGATTAGTTCCAAATATTAATTTTTTGCCCTGAGTAACTACTGTTATAACTTAAAACAAATTATTTTTAAACTCATGCTAAACCACCTCTCACCAAGATGGCCAGCACCACTGATGGTAGTGTCTCTTCACAGATGCAGTGGGACAGACACAGAGGCTCAGAGGAGTGAGTCTGTCCTGAAACACTGTGCATATTAGATTACATTTCTACTTAAACTTCAACATTTATTACCTCTTCTTCACCTATTAGGCAGATCAAACGTTAATTTTATAATAAATTAGTATCAAAAACTCTACTTTGGGAGGAATGAAAAAATTAAAGTTTTAAATTTCATTTGTGGAATCTTGATTTTTTTTTCTAAAAAATATATAGCTTTGAAGAAGTTGTGCTTTACAGCTATAAAAGCACTTTGACTCACTCTACCCATTCTTCAGTTGGCTCTGGAGAGAGAGAGCAAAGATCTCATAAATCATGATTTTAAATAAACGGAATTTAGTAAACTGTAGAGGGACTTGTTTTGCAGTAAGAAAAGGAAAATAAAAAGCACATTCAGAAACTATCCTGACTAGCTGCACGTACTACACAATTACACAAAACACTAATTTCAGACAAGATTACTCTGAAACCATGGCAAAATAAGACAAAGTAGGTCCATCCCATAATTTGTTTAAGCAGGGAAAAACAATAGGACACAGTACCAATACAAAAAATACAAATATGTTCTTTTAATTCTGTATTAATAATCACTACTTGTTTATCCACCTTAGACCCTTCTTTAAAGCATCAAATCCAAGTTCAAACTCTGTTACAAGTCCTTTTAACACCCTGGTACTAAGAGGCCCTGAGTTGCTGCTATGTTCTCTCCTGTCATACCTTGTAAAGCAAAGTTGTCCGCCCACCTACAGAGTAATTCCGGAAGGCAAGGGAAGGGGAAAAAATGCAGTACAGCTCTCAGCTGCTATTGCATAACATTGCCATTATTTGAGCAAATGCCTCAAATCAATCAATCAAACAACTTTTCACCATTTTCGTTGAGAGAGGTTTTAAACTAAAAAATTCAAAATCTTCTGTGAAAGCTCATTGATTTGTTTTATAATCTTTTTTCCTATGTGATTCTTGCTAGATAATAAGCACCACCAGTATCTTTCAAATAACATCATTCAACATTAACCAACATGAGATCAGAAAGGTACCTGGTTCAGTATTTGTCAAATTTACTCATACAAGTTACACTGAGAAACGATGAATCAGTATAAGGCAGGCATATTCAGTATACATATAACAGATTTCAGAAAGATGTTTTAAAATAGATTTTTATGTCAAAAATACAATTGCCACCACATTTTCTCAAAGAAAATTCATACTCACGCTTCATTAAGGGGTACAAAAATAAAATCTTTCTCAAAAATATCTACATGCCGGGTCCATGTTTTTACTCTCCCATGTCGCTTCTGCTGTATTCTGTAAAGACATATAGTATAAGTCCTAAAATAACTCTAGTACTTCAAATTACATACAGTGTCACATAAACTGTTAAGGCTCAGATAAATGTAGTTGCAACAATTGCACAAGATGGTTTAACAAATGGTGAAAACAACATGATACTAGGAAGGTATTACTGGCCTATCACTGAACCTTAGGAGAAAGAGGTTACTAAACTCCTGCCTCTGATACTGTATCATTAATTCCTGATACTGTATCATACAAATAATAGTATTTGTCTTCCAAAGACTTTCCACTACTTTAACTACTGTGGTAGTGGCATAGAAACTATATTGGGTAGTGTATCAAAGTATCACACTACAAGACAAACAAACAAACAAAAAAACCCAGCCAGAAAAGTGTGGACATGATCTGAAGGCAGATGAGGCAGGACAGACTAAAACAATGGACAAAATAAATGACTATCATCAATTCTTTTTTTAAAAAAAGGTTTATTCATCTTTATTGGAAAGTCAGGAATATAGAGAGGAGAGACGGAGAGGAAGATCTTCCATCCACTGGTTTATCCCCCAAGTAGCCTCAACGGCTGGAGCTGAGCCAATCTGAAGCCAGTAGTCAGGAGCATCTTCCAGGTCTCCCAAGTGGATGCAGGGTCCCAAGATTTTGGGCCGTCCTCAACTGCTTTCCCAGGATACAGGCAGGGAGCTGGATGGGAAGCCGGGCTGCTGGAACAAGAATTGGTGCCCATAGAGGATCCCGGAGCATGCAAGGAGAGGACTTTATTTGGTATGGTACCATACTGGGCCCCAACTGCCATCAATTCTAAGATGCAAATTAGAATTGCTAAAGCAGTAGAAAAAATATTATCTGCAACAGCCAAATGTGTAAGACAAGTATCAGTATCATTATGAACCTATATGGTGAGGATTTAAAAATCAAACAAACAAAAAAACTCAGGCCTCATATGTAGAATAGTACAAATACACCTAAAATGTTTATAGGAAAATAGAACCAAGTTTCTTTTGGCACAAAAAAATTTTGAAATCTAGGGCTCAGTGTGGTGGCCTAGTGGCTCAACTCCTTGCTTTGAATGCATTGGGATCCCAGATGTGTGCCAGCACTAATCCTGGCAGCCCTGCTTCCTGTCCAGCTTCCTGCTTGTGGCCTGGGAAAGCAGTTGAGGATGCCCCAGAGCCTTGGGACCCTGCACCCGTGTGGGAGACGTGGAGGAGGTTCCTGGCTCCCGGCTTCGGATTGGCGCAGCTCTGGCCATTGTGGTGACTTGGGGAGTAAATCATTGGATCGATGATCTTCCTCTGTCTCTCCTCCTCTCCGTATATCTGACTTTGTGATAAAAATTAAAGATAAATCTTAGAAAAAAAATTTTTTGAAATCTATGCATAGGGTTTTTTTTAATGGTAAACATATTCCATGAGTTTTTTGAAGACTCATGGGTTTAAAAATTTACTTCTGTTACAAAAAGCTTATTTTCTAATTCTATTTTTATGAACATTTTGAAGTAATCTCAATTGTCTTAAAAGAACCTATTTAAAGCATTAATTCTGGGGCCAGGGTTGTGGTGCAGCTGTTAGAGCTGCTACCTGTGGCATGAGCAACCCATATAGGTTGCTGTATTGAGTCCTGGCTGCTCCATTTCCCATCAGCACTTTGTGAATGTTAGTAGGAAAGCTGCGGTTTGAGGCCAAACTGCTTGGGACCTGGAAGATGCTCCTAACTCCTGACAGGCCCAGCTCTGGCCAATGCAGCCATTGTGGCCATTTGGCAAATGAACCAACAGATGGAAGAGCTCTGTCTCTTTTTATGCAACCCTACCTTTCAAATAAATAAGTCTTTAAAACAAAAAAAGAAAAAAGGTACAAGCGCCAAGGGTCAGTGCAGAGGCACATTATGTTAATCTTCTGACTGTGGTGCTGGTATTCTAAACCGCTGAGTCCTGGCTGCTCCAATTCCAATTCCACTCCCTTCTTATGACCTGAGAGTGCAGCTGTGGGTCTCTGCACCCAAGTGGGAGTCCTGGAACAATCTCCTCGTTCCAGGTTTGCAGCTCGCCCAGCTCTGACCATGATAATCATTTGGGAAGTGAACCAGTGGATGGAAGATCTCTCTCAGTCTCTCCCTCTAAGTCTGATTTTCAAGTAAAATAAATAAATCCTTAAAAAAAAAAAAACATATTCACAATTTCTCCTTTTAGATGTTAAGGATGAAAAACCTAAAATAAAACAGAACTATCTAAGAATTTTTTTTATCAAATAGAATCATGCCATATTTAGTAAGTACTGTTCTAACAGATTATCTATGAAATTTAGAAAATCTTGAGGTATTAGAATATTTTGAATTGCTTTAACTTTGCAAAAATATAGTAGAATGAAATGATGGTGCCTCATAGCAGATGCAGAGGCAGCTGAATATGAACTTGTGAAGATTGAAAATTATCCTCATTGATTTAGTATGTTTTCTTCCCTGTTAATGAATTTAAAAAAACAGTTGTAGACTTTTTTCTCAAATTATTCACTCTTTGCCTATGGATTTGATCACTCGTTATCTACGGATTTTACTCTATATCAATGGTCAGCCAATCAGAGGCAAAAAACAAAACAAAACCCTGCACATGTACTGATATGCACAGATTTTTCCTTGTTATCACTCTCTAAACAATAACTAATAGTAATTCTGTTCACACTGCATATTAGGTATTGTGACTCACAGATGATTTAATGTATGCAAAAATGTTACTGAACTATATGCAAATGTTATTCCATCATTTATGTAAGGGACTTGAACATTCTAATTTTGCTAGCAGCATGTGTCTACTGACTGTGCCTGGTTTGTTACACAGATAAACTAAATTAATTACATTTAAAGTTTGACTTACGATAAATTAGTTGTTTCATGATTTCTCCTTTCTCTCTGATTAAGGCGTTTATAGAAAAAAGAACTGAATATATGAATTCGATCGGCTTCTTCTTTCTTGAGTTTTTCAAGCACCAAATATCTATTTTATAAAAAAGAATTCCAAAGCACAAATGTAACAATACACTTTATTTTAAAACAGTTAAACAGTGATGAAATAATTATTAAACAATCATTCATTGCTATTACTTTGAAAGAAATCATAAAACAAATTTTAATTCAGATTCTAGACAATGATAATCACCATCATAATCAATTATCTTCAGGTAGTGAAAGGGTACGACTGACACTAAAACCATATCCTGAGGGGTGGGCATTTGCAGCAGTGATTAAGGCAGTCTTTAGCATGCCTATGTTACATACTGGAATGCCTGGATTTGACTGTTGACTCTAACACCATTTCTAGCTTGTTGCTAATGCACACGCTGGAGACAGCAGGTGACGGCTGAAAATTTGGGTTGCCCCGTTTAGTGGCAGACCTGGATAGAGTCCCAAGCTCTTGTTTTAGCCTGGCCCAGCCCTAACTGCTTTGGGTATTTGGGCAGGAAACTAGTTGATGAAAGAACTTGCTCTCTTGCTTGCTTTCCCTCTTTCTCTTAAATTTGTACTTCAAATAACAATTTTAAAACAATATACAACTTGAAAGATCTGTTGAAAGGGCAGACACTAAATTAAATTAAAAGAAGCACATATCCAAGCATTTATAGAGTAACATTATAAAAGTACTATTACTCATTATAGCTAAAACTCATAAATGGCAAATATTTGTCAATTAAGCAATGGAAAAGTAAAATGTGATATAGCCAATGGAATATTTTCAGCAACAAATAGAAATGAAGCAGTAATACAATTACATAGAAGAACCTTGAAAATGTTTTGTGAAGTAAAAACAAAACCCAGTCAAAATGGGTCAAATAGTGTAAATTTTTTTATGCTAAATGTTTATAAAATGCTAATTCAGAGACAGAGGAGCTCATTGGCTGCCTAGTGTTAGAGTGGAACTAAAAACACCAAACTTCACATCCTAAGTGAGTTAACTCCACTTTATGTAATAAGCATACTCAGTAAAGCTGTTACCTTTCTGTATTGCTTAATTTTGAACTGTTTGATGAACCCAAAATGAGTTCCTGACTTCAGGCATTGTCCTGGCCACTGCCAGCTGCTGTGGGATGTGGGCAAATGAACCAGCTGTCAATTTCTTTTTGAGTTTCAAATCAAATACATAAATGAACAATTTGGCAAATAAATAAGCCATGAAGACCCAGTCACTAATTACTTTTTATGGAAACAGAAAGGAAAAAGAACTTCTACTGCTGTTTGGTAGAAACAACCAATTAAACCTGCAGGAGTGAAGGATGGCAAATCAGAATGAGGCTGTATATATTTGAAAGTTACAGTTACAAAGAGAGAAGGCAAGACAGAGAAACATCCATCTGCTAGTTTATTCCTCCAATGACTGCAAGGGCCAGTGTTGAGCCAGACCAAAGCCCGAAGCCAGGAACTTCATCTAAGTTTCCAATGTGGATGGGAGGGGGGTCCAAGCACTGGACCCACTTCCACTGCTTTTCCCGGGCCATATGTGGGAGCCATATTGGTAGGAGAGAAGACAGGACATGAACCAGGGCCCATATGAGATGCCAGGATGACAGATGTCAACCTTACCTGCTGAACCACAAGATTTGATCCTAACTTTTAAGTTTTCCCTGGCAAAATAAAGATTTTCTCTCCCGATAAAGCAATCTTACTTAAGCTGGTTTTTTCCCCCTTTTTAAAGATTGATTGATTGATTTGAAAAGCAGAATGACAGGGAGAAAAGGAGAGTTAGGGAAGTTTTCTACCTGCTGGTTCATACCCAAAATGGTTGCTGTACTCCACCCAAAAACATGATATTGTTTTATACATTTATGTCAGGCATTTCAGTGGCTTGATTTGTTTAGATGGCATATATAAATCAGGAATGACATACATACCATTTTAAAAACAGGGGTAAAAATAACTGAAATTTACTATCCTAAATTTTTATATTTTACTTGAAGGTGGTACAGAGAGACAGAGACACAGACAGATCTTCTAACTGCTAGTTCACTCCACAAATAGCCCCTATGGCCAAGCTGGGCTTGGATTATTCCAGGTTTGCCAATGGGTGCTGGGGCCAAAAGTTATGGGCCATCCTCTGCTGCTTTCCCAGAGCTTTAGAAGGGGGCTGGATGAGAAGTGGAGCAGTTGGAATGCCAACTGACGCTCATACAGGATGTCAGTGATGCAGTCATAGGATTAGTTACTATACCACCACGCTGACACCTATCCTTAATCATTTTTAAGGATTCAGTTTGGAGCCAGTCTTTTGCTGTAGAAGGTAAAGCCACCACCAGCGACAGAACTATACAGATTGGTTCATGTCTGGCTGCATGCCTTCACACCTATCTCCATGTTGATGAGCTGGGATAAGCAATGAAAGATGGCCCAAGTGTTTTGGCCACTGGTGTCCATGTGAGAGATATGGATGAAGCTTCAGCTTGATCTGGTGTTGACCACTGTGGTCACATAGGGAGTGAACCAGTAGACAGAAAGCCTCTCTGCCTAAGATAGATCTCTATCTCCTTTAGAGAGAAAAAAAAAGATAGATTGAGCAAAATCTATCTTACACACACAAATATATTCACACTACAAGACATAAGTTTCCAAAGTCTTGTTCATATTGCAAAAATAAAACCCTACATCTATGAAACCATTTTCTTCTTCCTCTGTCCCTAGCCTACAAAAACTAGCACTATCCTGTTTCTATGAAGGTGATGGATTTAGATACCTTATATAAATGTCTTTCTGTGATTGTTTCAATCGACTTTGAGCAGTATCCTCAAGGTTAACTCATGTGTGATGCAACATATCCCTTTTTATGCTTTTAATTTTTTGACTGAAAATTTTTATTTATTATTTGAAAGGTAGAGTTACACAGAGAGGAGACAGATAGAAAGTCTTTCATTCACTGGATCACTCTTGAAATGGCTCCAACAGGCAGGCCTGGGCCAGGCTAGAGCCAGAAGAATGAAGCCTCTGGGTCTCCTGTATGGGTGCAGGAGCATAAGCAACTGGGACATCTTTGGCTTTCCAGGGATATTAGGACAAAGTTGTTATCAGAAGTAGAGCAGCTGGAACTTGAGCTAGTGCCCAGAGGGATACTGGTGTTGTAGGCAGAGGCCTGCTTTGTGTTTCAGATATGTATCCAGAGTAGGCATGGCTAGAACACATGGCAGTTCATTTTTTTTAACCAGTTTTTATTTCTTTGATATGTAGAAATACACAGGTGTAGAAAGAGAGACAGACATAATGAGAATATATACTTTCTTCTGCTGGTTCACTCCTAAATGCCTGTTGGAACTAAGCTGAACTGAAGAAAAAAGCTAGGAACTCAAACTATGTCTCCATTATGGGCAGTTTGAGCCATTACTGCTAGTTTACAGGGTCTGAATCCACAGTAAGCTGAAGTCAGGAGCTGCAGCCAGAGCTAAGCATTGCATCCATGCAACTCCAACTAAATTGCTAAAATGTTTTCATTCACTTTCTTAAATAACCTTTCACCTAGATTTCTACAATGCACATTTAAACTCACACATGAATAAACACACTGGATATAGCTAATATAAACATATGAAACATGAAAGTACAAATAGACATATTAAATAACTTCTCAAATGTTACATAGTAAATGACAGTGATTACATTAAAACCAGTTTAACTCTGGGAAACAAAAATATACACCGTGATAAAATGTTGGAGTATTGCTACAAAATTAGTTGAAAATGAACTTACTTCAAATAGAAGTCTATAATAACATCATTTAAAAATTCTCCTTCAGTTAGGCAGTGTAGGTCTTCATTAGTTACAGAGATGCCTCCCTTAGCTGGAGGTGGTGGATACACAATCAATCTACAACAAGTAAATAAAGAAAAAACAGAACAAGAAACCAAATAAATCCATATCCAAATATGTATATATTTTTAAAATGAAATGCAGTGATGCAACACACTTAAAGCATCACAAATATAAAGGAATTCTCTTACTTTTCTACAGGACCAATAAATATAGTGTGGTTTTCTCCAGCTTCCTCCTCATCATCAAAAAACTGGAACTCATGTTTATTTCTAAGTTGTATTTTAGATTCAAAAGACACCTGGAGTAAAAGATCAGTTCAGAAAGCCAGCTGAGAAAATTTTCAGTGGAACGAACAAGCACAAGAAAAAAATATTTCTCAATTAAAGAGTACTAAAAATAGAAATCTAAATGCTATGTATTCTAACAATAGACAAAGCTAAGGAGATACCTTCTTTTTATCTATACCTGGCAAAGTGATACTCTCAATTTATGAAACATTTGTACTGTCCACATTAAATTAGATTCTGCTATTAAGATTCAAGGAATCTTTAAAGAAACCAATGTGTTTTTTTCTTACAGCAGTGGAGACCTATCAATGTTCGATGGCTAGGCAACTTGTTAGATGTGGGGGCAGCAGAGGTTAAAGGAACAGAGTCCAAGGAGTTTCAAAGTTACCATAGAGATAAATGAAACAGGGGGGCCTCAGAGAGAAGGGCCTTCTGGTGAAATTCGAGTCTTTCCTATCTGCCTTTATGACTTCTGTTACTCTTCCTCCACTGAATTAGTGTTGTAGCTAACGCAACAAAAGAATGATTCTTTCTCCCATTTTCTTTCCCCTAAACTATTGTGAAAATAGCTCCTTTCTGGTGAGGCATTCAACTATCCCAAGAGTGTATGTATCTTGGATACCCATATTTTCTTATCTGTAGCCAGTTTAACATATTTGCTCCTAATTAAGAAATTCAATTGCTATTGTTAACATCTGTATTATTAAACATCATATGCAATTTGTCTTATAGTATAGCATGATGGCCTATGGTACAGAGGGCTTCATTAATTACTTGAGTAATTATTCTAGAATGATATAAATTTAGATAACCAAGTCAAATAGTATGTATTCTTCAATTAATAAGTGTTGAATTATATGCATTTTCTACATACAATTCGTCAGAGATAAAAAGACAAACCTAAGACACAGGGTAACAGGAATAAAAAAATATAACAGTGTTGAAACAATACATGCACTTCTGAGGCCTGTTTCAACTACTGATTGTGTTATGAGTCATCAATGCAACATAATTTTGATGTAAGTTGTTTTATAAAGCAACTATAAAGTAACTAATAGTAAAATGAGTGGTATTACATTAAGTCATTCACAATTAGCTATTTTATACTATTTTTAAAATCTTATAAACACACTTACAGTTTTAATTTTGGTTTCTTTTTGCACTGAACTTCCTTTGATACTTTCTTCATAGGTTTTTGTGCAGGCAACAAGTCTACTATTGGCTTCATCAAAGGGAATTTTTGCAAAAAAGTTGGAAATATTATTCTTAACACCAATGTCAGTAATGATACTTTCAAATATCATATTAGCTTGAGCATCAAGGCCATTTTGAAAGATTAAAATTATATATTGTTCTTCCAAATCTGAAAAGAAGTAAAATAACAAAATAAGTCAACAAATAATTTTAACAACTAATTATTTGCAAGATTTTTGCAAATCCTGGTATAAATGTTCAAAACAATGTTTGGAACACAGCAGATAATCCAAAAACTCCAGAAAAGATCGAGGAATGTTTCTTGACAATGTCACTTAAGCTATTAAGAGTAGCAGGACGGGCCCAGCGCAGTGGTTAAAGTCCTCGCCTTGCACGCCCGGAATCCCATATGGGTGCTGGTTCTAATCCCGGAGGCCCCGCTTCCCATCCAGCTCCCTGCCTGTGGCCCGGGAAAGCAGTCAAGGACGGCCCAAGGCTTTGGACCCTGCACCCGTGTGGGAGACCTGGAAGAGGCTCCTGGCTTCGGACTGGCATAGCATCGGCCGTTGTGCTCACTTGGGGAGTGAATCATCGGACAGAAGATCTTCCTCTCTGTCTCTCCTCTCTGTATCCGCCTTTCCAATAAAAATAAATCTTAAAAAAAAATTAATATAAAAAAGGAGTAGCACACATCACTGTAGCAGCAGTACAAGAAGTTTATTCATTCATATACGCAACTAATATATTTCCTCAAATAGGAGCCAAATCTATTTAATAATAAAGACAGATAATTACTTAATGCTTTGTCAAATACAAATAGGAAACTGCCAAGCAAATGGATATTCTCTATTCAATTTTTCTGCAAAACTGATATTCAGGTTTTTTTTTTAAGCTGCCAACTTCTGTAGCTAAATATTTATTCATTAAACTGAAGCAGCAATTACTGAGGAAATAGATGTAATTTACTATGCTACAACATTAAGAAGTAAAGGGAAACAAGCTGGAAGACCACATGTGTAAAGGATGAAGGTTCATTCTGCGACCTTCCAAACTTTCCTTAAAGCCAAGTTTCAATGATTCCAGATTTATATGGTTGCTTTACATCACAAAATTCATTTTACTCAGACTACACAGTGAAAAATTATTCAGATTTACTGAGGTTTAACTCCTTTTCCAAATGGGTAAATCTAAGCTTTATATTTAGCCGTTCTACTAGTTGTGGGCTTCTACGTATCCGTAAAATGCAGGAAAAATATCTTACAAGTTAGAAGTAACACATCCAGATAAGAGTAAGGGCATGTTTAAACAGATGGAGAATCATTAGCCAGGCTGAAGCAGAGAGGCTATGAACCAGGGAAATAGATGAGGACAGGCTGACAGCTGACATCCACCTGGGAACCTGCGGACATGGGGAAGCAGCAGACAGTGCAGCAGTGTTGTAATGAACAGATACCCTAGTTGCAATCAGCGGCCAGGTGGGAAGGGGAGGGAGTTATCAGGAGATCAGGTGGTGACTCCTGGCACAGAACTGCCTGTTCTGCTATTTGCTTGATCTGACTATTAGCAGAAACCGAGTGGTAGAGCCCAGGCGGGTAGGTGCATGGATCAGGGTGGATTTCATGGCTCAGACCCCCCACTAGTGCCATATTGGGGCTATTTTGTGTACTGAGGAAGACCGTGGGGCTGGAGGAACAACCGTGAGCTACATATGCACTAAGCCAGGAAGGAGACCATTTCAGACTTGATGCATTGCACCGTTCCTACACGGCAACAGTATTGACTCAGCACCCTACAGGTTCTACCAACATAGGTCGGGGTGGCCCCCAGACCGAATAGCCAGCAGGCCAAGAACCCTATGAGTGCCACATAGGCTGTGATGCTGAAGGAATAACAGCTAGTGGCAAAGGTGCTCAATCAGGAGAGAGCACATTTCTGGAACAACACATTTCCATATGTGGTACAAAAAATTGTTTTCGTTTCACAATATGTATTTTCCATGAACTTTTTCAATTATAATATGTATTTTCCTAGATCCCTCACTATAACCCACATACTAAATTTTTTCCTGGCGTTTCCTTACAGCTCAAAAGCTACAACAACAAAAACATTGAAACAACCCAGATGCCCATTCAAAACGTAGATAAACAAACTGTGGTACATCTACTCAATGGAATATTACTCAGCCATTAAAAAGAATGAAATTCTACCATTTACAACCAAATGGTTCCAACTAGAGACCATTATGCTCTGTACATCAATCCCAAAAAGACAAACATTGTATGTTCTGTCCGATATTGGGCTATCTTAATGCAAAACACAGGATCAATAGCCTTTTCAATGGTTTTTGCTGTAACTCACGGGTTTTGATATTTTTATTTTCATTTCTTCAAAATAGTTTCTTTTCTTATTTCTTTTTCTTCAAAATAGTTTCTACTGACTCATAGATCTATGAATAGCATCATTCTCTCCAAGAAAGCTTTTTACTTTATTTTTCATTTCTACACTAACACATTGGTCATTCAGTAGCATGTTATTTAACTCCAGGATGTTGTAAATTTTTTTAACTTTATTCCTGTTGTTGATTTCGTTGTATATTCATTCAAGGGAATGTATAGTAACTGTGTAATAGACTATCACATCGAGACGTGAAGATACAATGCTGTATATATCTCTACTTCAAAATCAAAGATGGACTCCAAATAAAACTGTGACATAAGTCTTGGCAAGAGGATCCTGGACTCTGCCTTTGTCCATGCCAGCAATGAAGGACTTATGACTGTTTTCTGAAGGACTACACTAAAAAATTTATATTTTTTTGTAAGCACCTGATGTTGTAAATGTCCCCCTCAATACTGTTTTTGTCTACATCTCATTGGTTTTGACATTTTTATTTTTACAAAAAACTTTTTTATTAATTTCCTCAGTCACATCTGGATCATCATATGGGATCCTGGCACACTCAAGGCGAGGACTTTAGGCGCTAGGTCACTGTGCCAGGCCCAAATTTTTGGTCTTTGTTACTATTGATGTCTCAACCCTCAAGTCTATATTGTTTAATGTCAAATAACAATACTAATTTGGGGAGCTGGCACTGATGTGTAGTGGGTAAAGTTGTAACACATTATGCTGGTATTCCACGAAAACTGGTTCTTGTCCTGGCTACTCCACGTCTAATCCAGCTCCCTGGGAAAGCAGTGGAACACAGTCCAGTTGTTTTGGACTCCTTCCATGCTTGTGTGAGACCTGGATGAAGCTTCTGTTGCTTCGCTTTGGCCTGGTTTGGGGCCAGCCTTTGCAGCCATCTGTGGAGTGAACCAGCAGATGGAAGGTCTTTATTTCTCTTTCTAACTTTTTCTAAGTAAATATACAAATAAATAAATAACACACCCAAGGCTTCTATCAAAGTAGACTTACATGCTGCTATTTAACAGTTAATATATATTGGTATAATTTGTTCTACATAACTTACTTGTTAGCTTATTTATTCCTTTACAATTGTTCCAAATCTTATCCTCCTTATTCATTTGCAGTTGCATGCTCAACTTTTGATAAACTGGTGGTGTTGCTTGAAGAAACACTACTGGTAATTTCCTGACATTACACAATTCACATTTAGTTAGATCAGAGGTATTTAAAATAATCTCTATAGGATCACTTTCCGGTTCTGGAGGAAAACAAACAAATGGAAAGAAATCAGCTTGTAAGACAACAAAATCATGAATGGAGGAAATTTCAAGTTTCAAGTTAAGTATGTATTTATCATGCTCTATAAACATATGTCTCATAAGAAATGAGGAAAATTTGTTTAAACTATCATAGGCTTGGACTTCATGTCACAGTATGAAACCATAATAAGATACATGCCTGTGATGTTATGATTAACCATGAATACATTTTATTAATATTTAATTGTTGATATCTACAAAATGCTTTAACATTTTATTCAGTAGAAAGACAGAAAATAGCTTACCATCTAGATGAATCTTGATAATATCTGAAGAAAACTTAAAAAAAAAAAACAGGATAAATTAGTGCTGATGCAGGATAACAAATATTTTGTTACATATACCATAAATAATTACTTGCATTGAAAGCTATGAAGAAAAACTGAGCAATCTAATATGTGCTTCAATAAAAATTTGTGATATGAGTAAATATTTGTAACATATCATCCCCAGATCTTTCATGGACTTCTGAAAAATCAAAGACATTCTACTATATAATCAATATATCAGAGACACATCTAAGAAATCAGGATTAACTTCTTCAACACAAAAATCACACTCAAAAATTTCCTAACTGCTTAAAATTGTCCTTTACCATGGTTTCAACTTTTCCCATTTATGAAAGTGTCATGGTTATATTAATCTGTCTATTCCAGCTTTGACAAGAAATTTGCACAATTCTGCCAACCATGCAATTTCCTAGACACTTACTTTCTCATTTAAAATTTAGTTTACACATTCCCGGTGAAAAGAGCGCATCACAAATGTGCTAATATCTCCTGCTGTATCAAACAAAACAGCTCTTACGCCAGGTTGTCCCATTTCGAGAGAAATGTAATCGCCTGACTATGCCAGTTACTGTCAGCTCTTTTACATGATACAGATGCATATTTTCCCTTTCCAATAATAGGAAGAGTGAAGACACACTGCAGTAGGCATCTTTAAACCTGAATAAACGGACTCCCCCAATGAAACTACGTTAAATATACCTTAGAAACAAGAAACTAGACTTACTGTCTGTATCTATAACGTCAAGAAACACTGAACAGCACAGTGCTGCACTGTGACTGCTGCTGGGGAAAACACAGGTAGGGAATACAAGGTGGAGGGGGCAACCTGTGCCTATGGAATGGTATCAAAAATTAATTTTAAAAAACTATCTTTTAATTAAAAGACTGTGACAACTTTATTCCTAATAATCTTGCTTAATGGATTTCTCTCTCAAAGTCCTAGTTTAAACAGCTATTACTGGTGATTAAAAAATGGCGATCTCACTAATAAAATGTTGCAGTGCAGAGAAGACATATTGTTTCATACAAATTGAATTTTTCCTATTTCCCAAAATTTAAGGAATTGAAAAGGAAGCAGATATGTTGAAATTGATTTAAAAAAATATAGTATGGACAAAGATGGAATGCATGAAAAGTAAGTACAGTAAAATGTTAATGGTAGGGCCCACTGCAGTAGCCTAGCAGCTAAAGTCCTAGCCCGGCATGATGGCGCAGTGGTTAAGGTCCTCGCCTTGCACGCCCGGGATCCCATATGGGCGCCGGTTCTAATTCCGGCAGCCCCACTTCCCATCCAGCTCCCTGCCTGTGGCCTGGGAAAGCAGTCGAGGACGGCCCAAAGCTTTGGGACCCTGCACCCATGTGGGAGACCCGGAAGAGGCTCCTGGCTTCAAATCGGCATAGCACCAGCCGTTGTGCTCACTTGGGGAGTGAATCATCGGATGGAAGATCTTCCTCTCTCTCTCTCCTCTCTGTATATCCGCCTTTCCAATAAAAATAAAAATAAATCTTTTAAAAAAATTTTAAAAAATTCACTGTAAACATCTTTCAACACCTCATGCTTGAAAATTTAATTATATAAAAAAGAACATAAAGAAAATATAAATTTAGTAATCATTACAACTATGAATCTACAATTACCATAAAACATAACACCTTTTTAAAAATAAACATTTTTTATTTGAAATGCAGATTTTAAAGGAGAGACAGAGAGACATTCATCTGTTGGTGGACCCTGTTAATGGCTGAATGGCCAGAGCTGAGCTATCCACAGCTAGGAGCTTCGTCTGGATCCCCCACAGGCATGCACGGTCCCAAGTACTTGGGCCATTCTCTCACTCTGTTCTTCCAGTACACAAACAGGGAGCTGGATTGGGAATAGAGCAGCTAGAACATGAACTGGCACCTAAATCGGATGCCAGCATCACAGGCTGAGGATTAGCCTGCTGAACCATCACATTAGACCCACTACATAAAACCTTCTAAAGAATGTATTTGAGGGGTTTGGTGTAGTATCATAGTACACTGAATTTCTGGTATCCTATATGTGCACTGGTTTCTGTACCAGCTGCTCCCTCCTTATGAACTAAAAAACAGTGGAGGATGGCCCAAAGCCTTGGACCCTACAACCATGCTGGAGTCCCAGAAGAAACTCCAGGATCTTGACTTCAGATCAGCTTCAGTCGCTGCAGCCATTTGGGGTGTGAACCAACGGATAGAAAATCTATTGACCCTCCATTTTCTCCCAACCTTTCATATAAAAAATTAATAAATCTTAAAAAAAAAGAATGCACTTAAAATTAACACATTAGTTGTTTTACTGGAAACAACATATTAATTGGGGAGAAAATTGGTTCCTATGCTTTGAAAAACATTTGTAGATGACCAGGACCTTATTCCTTGAGCCACTATCTGTTCTCTCCATGGTGATCATTAGCAGGAAGTCAGAACTGGCAGCAGATTGAGGAATCAAACCCAGAAACCCAACATTCAAGTGGGTGTTCCAAAAGTATCACCATTGCTACAGTAAATGCACATTCTCATTTTACATTTTAATGAAAACGTTCACTTCTTTATTTTTTTTTTTGAAAGGCAGAGAGACGCACACACATACACATGCAGACAAAAAGACACAAGACAACTTTCCATCAACTGGTTCATTCTCCATTAGCAATGTAAGGTCAAGCCAAAACTACTGCAATCCCTCCCTTGGGTGGCAGGACCCCAAGAACCTAGGGCATCCAGCTGCCCACCCGGGGCATGACTAGGAAGGCAGATCAAAACAACAGAGTAGCTGCAACAGAACTCAAACCAGGCACACATACTCCCAAGTGAGGGCTTAAACAATCATGCCTTATACAAAGATTATAAAAATATAATAACAACAACAATAATAAACAACCATGCTACAATTACCCCAGCATACACTTTTAAATAAAATTTATTTCTAGACAGTGTCAATTTTGACTGAGTGAATTTAAATAATTATATTATTTGAATAAATGTTGGGTATGGAAAACATTTACAATCTATCAGATTAATCATAGTTTAGCAAATAAACCATTTCTTGACAAAGCTTTAAGACATTATTTTCAAGAAGAAAATATCAAATCACATTGTTAATAATACCATTTTAAAAACATCCATTCATTATGTCTGGACAGTGAGATGCTGGACCCTCTGCATGGTCCATGCCCACAATGAAGGCATCATGACTGGTTATGATCTGTACTACTGTAGCAATGTGGAGGAATTCATTATGGGGTTTGGGGAGGGGTCGGCGGAATCCCAGAGCCTATGAAACTGTGTCATAAAATGATATAAAGAATGGCCTAATCTCTCTGGGGGGAAAATCCATTCATTATACTTAAAAAACAAAAATTCTTGGAAAAATCATGGCACAGAGAAAATTAACAAAACCTGGTAAATTTTTCAAGTTACATTTTTGGCTAAAAAATTTCAATGATTCTGATTTAGAAGATATAAAGTATATCAGCATATTTTTACATAGTACACACTATCTTTTATCTCTTTAAGTATATTTATAAAGTTTTATGTTATTACACAGCATAACCTATACCTTTCATGGGAAAAAAACATTGAAATTTCAATGTAGTTCTTAAAAGGTCTAAGACTTAAGTATACAACAATTAATGTGTTAAGCACTTTAAAATCTCATCATTATGAAGACATAAGTAACTCTCAATGTTAGGGACAGTTACAAAACCTACATGGCACTCCTGGGAATTTCTGAGGTATACTGTGACAGAGTGATAAATGCCATATGATATCCCAGGGCATGCATGGCAAGGATTTAGCCACTGAGCCACTGTGCTGGGCCTGAATTTATCTGTTTTGCTAAGGAGACAGAGTTTAAAAGATATCGAAGTAAACAGGGACACCAGGATCAGATATTGTAAGATAAATCTTACAAACATGTGTGTGCAATGCTTCAGATTAACATACCAACAGATTAGGAAGAAGAATGATTAAGAACGCTAGCTAAGATGATTATATATAACAGTTTCACATAAAAACCATTTGAATTGGTAGTAATAAAAAAATGACAGAAAATCCTCTGGTTCTCACAGAGATTGAACTAGTCTGAAACACTACATTGCCTCTTGAGGTGGCAATCAGAATCCTACTATCTATTTCTAAGGATTAAATGCTCTAAAGCCTTTTTAGCCAACTTTAAAGCTTTTGAACTCATCTCTTTCTCACTACAGTTTGTTAATGAACTCTTATCAAACACCAAATTGGCTTGAGAAGAGTATTATATCTGAAGTCCTACTAAATAGGAGTGTAAATAACTGCTGATAATACACCTTAACTTTGAATATTACATTATGGCAAATTTTTATCCATTTATTTACTTTCACCTTTTTCTTTTTTAAAAAATATTTTATTTGAAAGATTTATAGACAGAAGGAGAGACAGAGGAGAGTGTGAGAGAGGTTTTCCATTTGCTGTTTCAATCAAGTGACTGACATCACTGGATCAGATGCCAGGAGCATCTCCTGGGTCTCCCATTTGGATGCAGGGAGACCTAAGGACTTCAGCCTACCTTTACTGTTTTCCCAGGCCATAAGCAGGGAGCTGGAAGAAAAGCAGCTGCAACACAAACTGGTGTCTATTTGGCACACCAGCCCCACAGGGGGATTAGCTGACTACATCACAGTGTTGGCCACTAGCTGATTTCTAAAGGTGAGGAGGAACCATTTAAGAGTCTTGAAGGAATATTAAATCCAGAAATAATTTTGGTATTCTGCTAATATAAATATTTCAACGTACAAATTTAAAATATTACATATTAGCCATAGAAATGGAGTTCTGCCAACCCAGCAATTGCAACCACCAGCTGATCAGGGCGATGAACTGTGCTAGGCCCTGTACTTGCTACCACATACAAGAATCTGGCTTGAGAACATCTCAGACAAAGTTTCTTTGGAGATCTCCCCAATCAAAATGCTGGACTCAGAATCCTAACCAAGAAAAGAGAGAAAACAGAACAGGTCAACCAACCATCTCAGCTATATGCTGGCAGCGAAATATGGGGCAAACAGAGACTCTATGTTGGACTATGTCAATCAGTGGATTCTTCAAGGACCTCATAATGCTTGGAGTGGCAAGATTGGCAGCGATTCATAACTGCTGAAATATCAAAACCACTTGAGCAAGAACCTCAAAGCATACCCTACATCCGGGACCTGGGGAGGGTGGGAAATTGGGTGGGCCTTCTCCCTTAATACCCCCCTTTAAACATGAAGGAAACAATATGGAAAAAATAATAATCTTACCCACTTTCCTGTAGCCCTTGAACCTTTTTGCATTAACTATGTAAAGACTGTCAAAATAAGAAATGTTAAAAAAAAAAAAAAAAGAAATGGAGTTCTGAATTTTACATATTGAAACTGAAGAAAGTACTTACAATTACAGGTTCTATTAATAGCCGGAAGAGTGTTCCCACCCGAATACTTCGACAGTTTAAAATCAAACTTTCAAATGAACTTTGGCAGCTTAAAGATAGAGAATTAACTGAAGTTTCTTGAGAAACCACTCTACGACGTTTTACAGGTGTGCTGATAATAGGATTGCCAAACTGAAAGGACAAGAGACATTTCACTTCATAAGTTCCTAAGACAAGGTTGCAAACTAAGTACATTCAATATAAGAAATTATAAAATTAATTATGACAACATAAAACAGATTTTATATATAGGTTGAATATCCCTTATCTGCTATGTTTGGAACTAGAGATGTTTCAGATTCTGAGTTTTCCACAACATTTCTATGAACATTTAGTAGCTAAGCATTCCTAATCTGAAAATATAAAATGCTCCAAAATCTGTAAAAAGTCTCGGATTCTGGAATATTTGGGATTCTGTTAGGATATCTAAATCTCTAGCAAATTTATTAATTATAATCACAAATATAAAATATGACTGATAGAAAAACAACAGAAAATACTCTCTACACTGATAGGCATTGTATTTATTATTCTTTAGAGACATTTCTATAACCCACATCATACACAAGAATATGGACTTAAAATTGATCATAATATTGAACTGCCATACAAACAGGGTTTCTAAAACTTTTTCAGGCATTTTTGGGACATTTGTCATGAACATTTTTCAATGTTTTTAATGAAATCATAGTAGCTTTAACGCTTTTTGGGTTTTTGGTAGCTATAGTTGTTTCTTGAAATGAGAGTTATTTAGATCACCAATAAAACAGGTAATTAAGAAGTTAGAACAGCTGAAACTATACTAGAGGGATTGAGTCTAGAATTGAGCAGATCCTTCCCTCACAGCATCATCATAAAGAACACAGAAACACTTGTGATCTAGAGTATCAACCTAAAAAATTTCTGTAAAAATTCCAGCACTTAAAAATCCATTTTTTAATTAACTGAACAATTCCACATTGAATATTTCCAATCTTCACTCATGATAACTAACTCCAATGATCTTTTATGCAGTGAAATCCTAGTAAGTATCTAGAATTATTGCTCAACTATCTTCCCACAAGTCATACTAACCTAAAAGACCAAAATCCCATTTTTCTGAATACTGAACAAGATGAGACACTACTTTACTTTAAATAAACTTTTGACAATATGGACAACCAACCAAAGCTAATTTAATCTAATTTTTACTATTTGATTACTACTTTTAAAAATTCTATTTATTTCCTCTAGTTACTTTTCTAGAATTTCATTTATATCTTTGTTAAAAATATGTATTTGTTTATTTTGAAATGCAGGGTTAGAGAAAGAGGGGGAGAGAGAGATCTTCCATTTGCTACTTCACTTCTACCCCACTGTTCTTCATAGGCCATCAGCAGTTAGCTGGACTGGAATGAGGCAGTATGTACACAAACTGGCACTCAACAGGATGTTGCTGTCAAAAGTGGCAGTTTTACTTGCTATGACAGAATGGCCCCTATCTTTCCTCTTATTTTGTAAGAAATTAAAAATAAATAACCAATTTGCTGACACTGTCGTATACTTCATCCCTCCCTTTTTGCATTACCCTAACAAATTCCACTTACAGTGTACAACCTTCTGTACTTAACATTTAAGCAAATATATTAATCTCTTAATTTTTGAAGACTTAAGTTATTTTTGGAAAGCAAGACTTAATAGACAGAAAGATCTTTCATCCCCTGCTTCAATCCCCATATGGTTACAATGGTCAGAGCTGAGCTGATCCAAAGCCAGGAGCCAGCAGCCAGGAGCCTCCTCTGGGTCTCCAATGTAGGAGCAGGGTCCCAAGGCTTTGGGCCATCTTGCACTGCTTTCTTAGGCCATAAGAAGGAAGTCTGGTGGGAAGTGGACATGAACCAGCACACATATAGGATGCTGGTGCTTTGTAGGCAGAGGATAAGCCAACTGAGCCATCACGCCAGGCATATGTTATGGTTACTTTTCTGTTTTTAAATTTCTCAGGTTCTCTTTTTACTTAAACACAGATCATTTTTGCCTTTGTTTGAAATGCAGAGCAACACTGGTTTACTCCCTAGATGCTTACAATGTAGGGTGCTAGCAGCCAGAAACTCCAGTGGGTGACAGGACTTAAAGTAGTTGGGCCCTCTTATGCTCCCTTCTGAGGCTTATTACAGGGCGCTAAGTCACAAGAGGTTCAGCTGAGACTCAAATAAGCACTCTGATAAGACAGGCTCAGCTGATTTACTGAGCCACAGAGATTTTATCTTAACGAAATATCTGTCTTTCCATATTTTCTTCTGAATTCTCATAAACCTTGATGTACACACACACACAAACATAACTTCTTAATTATAAAAAATTTTTTCAATTTGCAGACAAACCCAGGGACATTAAAAGTACAGTATGAAATTATCTTCAGGCTCTGTGTACAGATGTGTATAAAATAAAAATGAATTTCCTGTTTAAATTTGGGTTCTGTGCTCAACATATGTTATCATACAGAATACTCTAACTCTCCTAAAAAAAAAAACCCAAAAACCACACACACACACACACACACACAAAAAAACCTCCCAAAATCTGAAATACTTCTGGTTCCAAGCATTTTTAGATGAGATGCTACACCTGTACCAGACATTTTTCTTTCAGGATAGTATTGTTCTTCTTGTTGAAGTCTTTACATTTAACCCGTCTGTTTAGCTGAAATTTATTTTGACACCGGGGTTAATATTGCTACAAATTATTTTTCCACTGAATGAATAATCCATTCTTTTTACTTCCGTTGACGCTGTGAAATGACCCTAAAAAATTTATTCTGTCTCAAACACATTAATCTGAGCAAATGTCAATATAATTTAATGTACCTGATCTTTCATTCTTGCTTTGCGTGGCAATGTAATTGTATTTAAGTCTGATTCAGCTGGAATGCTTCTTAGTTCATGCTCTACTCTGCAGGTATTTTCATTCAGTGCTGCTTCTACTTTTCCAGTGGATGGTGCTGGAGAAGAACATGCTGAATCAGCAGGTTGAGGAGATATACTCTCTCTTCTGTTAGTCTTATCAGTGTCATCATCATCGTCACTGGACAAAATGACTAAAATTATAAAGAAAACTTACAATAAAATTTGTATTTTACTTGTCGGTTGAAAATGTTCATAAATTACCATGGTTGGAAATAAAGCAGATTTCCTTTGCAGTTACTTCAGATTTGAGATTAACAATAATGAAGATAACAGCTACCCACTTTGTCCAAGAAAAATAAAATTTGAAGACAGAAAAGCATGAAATCGACTGCCAAAACTCATTCAGCACTCCCAGCAAATTACAATTAAATTACTATTTGTAGGTCTATTTCAGAGTTCCATAAAGATTAAGGCATGAAATAAGCCCTAAATTGTTCACAAAATAGCACGTATCTACAATGTACATGAAATTCCAAATACTGTTTATATACAGGAAATCATTAAAATCATAATTAGTTCTTTGAAGATTAATGCTCAATAAACTTTGGTGAGTAAAGGAACTCTGGAAGGAAAAGCCATTGGGAAAGTATTTTGGTTCCAAACCATTCAATCATTGAACCTTATCAAATCCATTTCTGTAGCACAGGTACCCAGAGACATGCACACTGCAACTGACCCAATTTGTAACACTTTACTCTGCCTCATGAATTTGCATAATATGGTTCTTTCTTATTTGTCTAATTTTCTTCTACTTATTTATCTTTCTTCAAGCTGCAGGAATACCAGTCAACAGATCTGTCCTTCAAGCACCACAAGCTGTTCCTCAATGGAATATACTTCCCCAAGACTGTGTTTTTATCACTGAATGTTAAACAATCCATCATCTTCAATTCCAGCATCCCAAATGTGTGCAGGTTTGAATCCTAGCTGCTTCACTTTTGATCCAGCTTCCTGCTAACACACCTGTGAAAGCAGTGGAATACAGCACAAGTCTTGGGCCCGTGCACCCATGTGGGAGACCTGAATAAAGTTCCTGGCTCCTGGCTTCAGCCAGGCCCAGCGCTGGCCACTGTAGCCGTCAGGGAAGTGAACAAGCAGATGGAAGATCTCTCTTTTTCTGTCTTTTCCTCGCATCCTATAATTTTGCTCCTAAATGCATAAATGAATCTTTAAAAAAATTTAAATGTCACTTTTCATTGATAACTGTCTAAATAAGCACACAGCTACTCAATTCAGCCACGATAAATGGATCAAAATCTTTTTTGCTGTCTGCTATGAATGATAACTTGCTCACCTGCCTCTCCCTTTTTACAAGTAAATTGTAAGCAAGCATGCGAACTGTCTCACTCACAACTACATATTCCAAGCCCAACATAACGAACAAACATCATTTGTGAGAATTAACTGGAGGACAGGAGGAACATACAAATGCTAAGTTAACATACACTGGAGAATGTATGCACACTAGGGGATAATTTTATTTCTTGGTGTCTAATCTCAAGAACCAAAGGTTGACCTTGGATCTTTCTCAGAATGGGTCCTTTTATTAATACAGAAAACCTAATAAACTAGATTAGAAAATCTAAGTAGATTCACATTTATTTGAAAGTTAAAAGTCTTGCTTTTTGGGTTTTACCTTATTTCTTCTCTCTGAAGTTGTAAAATTTACAATAGCACTTACAAATGGTACTTCAAAAAAAAAGTTCACAGACATGGAATTAAAGAATTCTGGAATCCATGCTTAGATTTTACTTATCACATATTTTACAAGATAAACTTTTTGAAGGCTGATTGCAATTCACAGGACTACTTCTAATAGTAAATTGCGTGCAAAATACTTATTATTGGATGGAAATTTAGCCTAGGAAAAACATCACATGGAACTCTCATGCGAGTCTGAGTTCTCATGTCTGTTTTTGATTCTATCTTTCTGATAAAAAAAGACCCTGGAAGGCAGCAGGAAATGATTAAGGTGGGAGACCTGAACTGAATTCCTGGCTCCAGGATTTAGACTGGCCTAGCCCTAGATGTTGTGAGCAAGTATCTATCTCTGTTTCTGAAACAAATATAAAAAGATGCAGAAGCTTTAGAAAGCTTGTGGGAAATATTATGAAAAAGCATGCATAGAATTTGAACTTTTTTGCAGTTAAACAGATTTACCTTTTATTTTTGTTTTTAAAGATTTATTTATTTCTATTGAAAAGTCACATCCAGAGAAGAGAAACAGAAGTATCTTCAACCCACTGATTCACTCCCCAAGTGGCCCCAATGGCTGGAGCTGTGCTGATCTGAAGCCATGAACCAGGAGCTTCTTCCAGGTCTCCCATGTAAGTGCATGGTCTCAAACACTTGGGCCATCCTCTATTGATTTCCCAAACCAAAAACAGAGGTCTGGATGGGAAGTGGAGTGGCTGGGATATGAACAGGCATCTTTATGGGATCCCAGCACATGTAACATGAGGATTTAGCCTGCTGGGCCACTGAACTGGGCCCTCTGCCAGTCATGATTCCCCCTCATTCCTCAACCTGCTTCACCTTTAATCCAAGGAATTTACAACTATGAGAGAACTGAACATTTTATTTAAAAGCTACTCCCACCAGAAAAAAATCTTTGTAACTATTATTTTAGTAGGAATATACATCTTAAAATGATGACATATATTAAGAAATCAGGCTGTGGAATCTGAAAAATCCCAAAAGTTCATAAGATAGTATTAAAAAACTGCTTTAGTATCGTTTTAAGATGTGGTATGTTAATACTGATATTATGAAACAGTGAAAGCTAAAACTGGTTGTTGTCTTTATAAGAAAACAGGGTTCATAAGTGTGATATGAATGACATCTTATTAGCATGATATGTTCTTTTAACGAAGCACATTTTCCATTTAGCGCTTTTTTTTTCCAGTGAAGAAGGGGAATAAAATATTCTGTATGTCACTAAAGGATTTTTTTTGCAAGGCAGAAAAAGACAAAAAGAGAGACATCCTCCACCTGCTGGGACAGCCTGAAGACAGGAGCCAGAAATGTGTATCTCCTAGAGACCCAAGCACTTGGGGCTCTTATCTGGTGTCATCGAGTTGCATGAGCAGTAAGCTGAATTTGGAAGCAGATGATGGACTCAATCCTAGAGACTCTGATATGGGTTGCAGGCATCCCCAACAGTAGCTTGATATGTGGTGGCACAATGTCCACATCTACTTTATGATTTAAATCATGACTCATATGTTGCTATGTTAAATTCTGAACATTGAACTGCTTACAATAGTTTTTTCTGAATATTTCCTAAATATTCTTCTGAACAAATTCAGAACTACGTGGATGTATTTCCTTTTACATCAACGTACATCGTTCTTAAAGACGTACCACTTAATTATATGAAGTTTCATTTCATCATCCTAAAAATGACTCAGAATCTTAATTTTTTCTTTAGCATCTGGCTCATGGACAAATCTATTAACTGTCTGGTAAGAGCAATTTGTCCAATTTTTTCAGGATTAAAATAACAAAAAAATTTCTTCACAACTAGTGAAGACTGAAATTATGCTGACTGTATTTAACACTGTATGGGCACATGAACTAAAAACATATCATAAATAAATCTGTGTGGCACCAGTGCAAGTCCTAGGTGCTCCAGTTCCAATACAGCTCCCTGCTAATGTGCTGGAAGATGGCCCAAGAGCTTGAGCCCCTGCACACATATGGAAAACACAAAAGAAGCTTCAGATCAGCCCAGCTTTGGCCACTGTCGTGATTTGGGGAGTGAACCAATGAGTGGAATATCTCCCTCTCTTTCTCTGTAACTCTGCATGCCAAATAAAAATAAATAGATCTTTAAAAACATATAGTAAAATGGATAGAAAAGAAAGCAGTCATTATCTTCCAACTGGATGGACATATTTTAATCATTTATTGAAAAATATACTACGGGCCCGGCACGATGGTGCAGTGGTTTAGGTCCTCGCCTTGCACGCCCGGGATCCCATATGGGCGCCGGTTCTAATCCCTGCAGCCCCACTTCCCATCCAGCTCCCTGCCTATGGCCCAGGAAAGCAGTCGAGGACGGCCCAAAGCTTTGGGACCCTGCACCCGCGCGGGAGACCCGGAAGAAGCTCCTGGCTTCGGATCAGCATAGCACCAGCCGTTGCGCTCACTTGGGGAGTGAATCATTGGAGGGAAGATCTTCCTCTCTGTCTCTCCTCTCTGTATATCTGCCTTTCCAATAAAAATAAAATAAATCTTTAAAAAAAAAAAAAAAGAAAATATACTACAAAATTGACATATGTATTAAAACAGACTTATCATATGTGCTTACACACAATAAAAAACATGTATGAAAGATGTACTGATTCAAGTATTATTAAAGGGAATAAAATACTTACTTGGATCATTTAGATCAGACAAGCTTGTTTTCCTCTCTTTTATGCTTGTGATTTTGGGTATTTTTGCCGAAGGTAAAATGATTTTTCCATTAGTCTGCAAATAATTATGTCTAATATCATCACGATTTACAATAATGTCTATTGGAACCTTTTCCACATTGTTGCCATAAAACTTCTTGGTTGTTAATCCTGTGTTCTGTGGTCTCTGTCCTCCAGAATTCTGATGAATTGGTGTTCTTAATGATGGTCCAGTGGAGTCATTCAAACTTATAGCTTGTCTGCAAGACTTTGGTAAATCATTATGAAAAAGAATACCACAACTTTCACATTTGGTCTGATTTTCTTTTTCCTTCCCACACTGTGGACAACATTCACGCTGTTCAGAAACCTTAAATTCCAAAACACAAAGGAAATAACAGATCTTAGTATTTTATTTCAACATCAAGAAACTCCCTCAAAGTTATCAAAAGTAAATTTCCTTTTCCTATCATTTGCCACTACAGGTTCCAGGAGACCCTGAATAAGCCATGTAACCTGGGAATTAGCTTAAGAAAACTGGGATCCCATATGGGTGCTGATTCATGTTCCAGCTGCTCTACTTCCTATCCAGCTTCTTGCTTAGGCCGGAAAAGCCGTGGAGGACAGCCCAAAACCTGGGGAATCTGCACCCGTGTGGGAGACCAAACAGATGCTCCTGGCTCCTGATTTAGGACTGGCCCAGCTTTGGCCATTGCAGCTAGTTGGGGAGTGAACCAGTGGATGGAAGATCAACTGCAGGGGTAGGAATTTTGGTATTGCATTTGAACAATGGTTGGGACATTCTGTACATATGGAGTGCCTAGGCTGGGTTTGAGTCCTGACTCAGGTCCCAATACCAATTTCCCACTAATGCACACAGTGGCAGGTGAAACAACCAGGTAGCTGGGTCCCTGCCACCCACATAGAAACAGAATAAATTTTCAGCTCCTGTCTTTGGCCTGGCTCAGATCCAGCTTTTTTCTCTACATCTGGGGAGTGAACCAGCAGATGGGAGTCTTCTTTCTTTCTACTTTCTAAATAAATAAAACAATTTTTAAAGGATCAGCTAGAATTTAATAATTAGTAAAACACTGGAACTAGTATGTGATTAACAAGAGAAAGTAATTTCTCTACTTACCTCTAACTGGGTTACACATTTTTTTGAAGCAGGGGAGAGAGGAGAAGCTTGATATGCACTACAGTGCCGCTTCTGTTGCACTTTCCTCTTAATTTCAGTCTCTACATGTGACTCAGACTCTTCTGTTTTTTTCACTGTGCGTTCTAAAAGGAGAAAAGAGAAGTACTGAAATCAAATGTTATAATTCCTCATGATCTTTGCCATGGAAAAAATACTGGTTTGTATTCACAAACATTAAATTTTAGTTAAAATAAGCTAATGTTCTACATGGACAATAAATATTACCAGAACTTTAGTTTTCAGCCAGTACACATATCCTGGCTATTCTTGTCTACTTTTGACACTCCAGCATATACACATCTACCTAACACAAAATAATCTCGAAACAGTTTCCATGTTAAAACTTTTTCTCTCTCCTGAAATAAATGAGTTCATAGGTTATAATCAAATAAAACAAAGAAACTGATGAAGTGCACCTTTTCCCTACAGAAGTAAAACGAGCAAATGAAGAAAATAGGAAATCACCACTAAACACCAAGCAGTAATTGTTGGCAGCAAGATAGATCAGTGGACGCTAAAATCAGAAGGTGAAAGTTTGAAAAATAAAAAAACTATATTTTCAGTCCTGGCGTCTCTTACAAGAACACTGAGGAGAAAACAGTAATATTACAGTGAATAAATCCAACAGAACTCCCTTAACCAAGCAATTCTAGTTTATACCACCAGAAATATGACACATCAACATCAGATAACCATTGATCATCAAGCATCATCAAACTGTACTGTGAGATACGATACAAGGCAAATGACTAGTAATCTTCAAAGCTGCCAAGGAAACGATAGTATTTTGACTATGTGCGATCACAACTGGATCTCAGACCAGAAAAAGACATTGAGGACATCAGTGGTGCAATCTGAACGAGCTTCTACAGCTTATTCAAAAATCTTACACCAATTGCAGTTTCTTAATGCCAGGCAGCTCAAATTTCATATCCCATATAGGGGGTGCTGGTTCATGCCTTGATTCCATTCTCAATTCTAGCTTCCTGCAAATGCTCACTTCCTGCAAATGCTCAAAACATCAGGTAACTGGGTCCCAACCACCCCTGTGAAAGACTCGGCTTGAGTCATTGCTGGCATTTTAAAGTGAAGCAGTAGATAAGAAATTTCTTTCTTGCTGCCTTTATAATAAATAAAGGCTTTAAAATAATAGTTTTACCGACTTTCTTATAGCCCTTGATCCTTTTTACCCTAATTAACTATGTAAACATTGTCAAAAATTAAAAAAAATTTAAAAATTAAAAGAAATAAATAAAGGTTTTAATAAAATATGATTAGAAATACATTATCATTAGCGGAAGCTGAGTGAAGAATAAATAGGTATTTTTTATATTAGTTTTATAACTTTTCTGTAAGTCTAAAACAAACATCAAAATAAAATGCTAACAACAAAAATTGTTATTCCCATCTAGTTAATGCTGTTGAATACGTTTTAATAATTAAATGCTAGCAATGGATCAGTATTATGGTACTCTGAGCTGACCCATACTTCCAGCTACTCAAGTCCTAGTTGCATTGCCTCTTATCCAATTCCTTTCCAATGCACCTGGGAAAACAGTGAAAGAGCCCAAATATGTGAGCCCTTGTCACCCATGTGGAAGAACATGGAGTTCCAGCCCAAAGGCTTCAGCGTGGCATAGCCTAGGCCCTCATGGTCAACTGGGATGGGAAATAAACCAGCAGATGGAAGAAGACCCCTCTGACTTTCCCTCTCAATCCTTTCAATAAGAACAAAAACAAAAAAAAATTATAAAAAATTCACACGTAACAAGTTTGGCATCTAAAAAAAATCACATAAATGGGCCCCATCACTTACGCATTTATAAAACGGAAATAATAATTGTTATACAGTAGTTCTTCACAAGGATTTGGAATAGCTTTCTTTGTGAATGAGCAAAAGAATAATGAAGTATAAGTGGTGTGGTACAAAGAATTAAACTGCTGCCTGCAATGCCAAGATCACACAAGAGAATCAGCTCAAGTTCTAGCTGCTTTGCTTCCAATGCAGCTCCCTGCTAACGAACACAGCAAAGCAGCAGAGGGTGGGTGAAGTCCTTGCACCTGTCTACTCATATGGGTGGCCCAGATGAAGCTCCCTGCCCCCAGCTTCAGCCTGGCATAGCCTAGCTGTTGTGGTCATTTGTACAGTGAACCATCTCTCAACTCTATCTTCAGCCTGGTCCAGCACTGGGTATTGTGGGTAATGAATCAGTAGAAAGAAGTCCTATTTCTCCCTCCCTGTCACTCTGCCTTTCAAATAAATAAATATACCTTTTAAAAAAATACAAATAAGAAAACAGGTTTTAAATACACATGTTTAGAAAATATACAGATTTTCATTTAAAGTAGAAAAATGTGCATTAATTTGGAAATATGAGCTACTGCAACTATTTAAAGCAAAGGCTTAGAACAGAATTTTTACCAATAACTACTGGTAAACTAGCTTACCAATAACCAATCTAGATAATGAAAACTGATTTAATAGTGAAATATTTTTCACAAACATTATTTACCTTTCCTGGTGAGTATACTAAAAATGACTTCACTATAGATATAAATTTTCAATCACAGTGGGTTTCTAATGCTGTTAACACAGTTGCATCTGGTATGACCTCTTTTAAAAGTAAAGGATCCCTAAAGCATTATAAATTTTAGCATAAAAAAATAAATAAAATACAATTATATAACATAATTGTAGCAGTTCAATAAAGGGCAATTTTGGAGCAATAGCTCATCCACAGTTAATATCTGGATGCCCAACACAAGCAAAATAATAGTATATCAAGAATTCAAAGTATAATGACCTGATTCTGCAATTGTTCAATGACATCAGGTCACAGTTAAAACTCTCAAACCATAGTTGCAGGAAAAAAAAAATCATTGCCTGTAAATTTCTATTATGGCTGAAAATACGCTAAAATACCCTAAGCTTAGCATTTTTTTTTAAATCTTTATTGGTGCCTTTCATATACAGTAGCTCAAAACCCATTACAGGTATTAACAATTAAAACCACACACTTACCCATACCTTGTGGCCGACTTAACCTTACTGAACTAATTTCAACTTTTTGGACATGAGGTGGGTATTCTTTCCTAGAAAAGGAAATTCATACAATTTTATTTAAAAGAACATGTAATTTTCAAAATGAAAAAGTTAAGGGCATAATTAAGATATATTTATTAAAAGTAACTATAGCTTTTAGATAAATAAAAAGTGACAATACCAAACTGTACCATAGAAAAATCTTAGTAAACCGTAATAAATTAGAACTGTAACAAACTATTCATTTAGATCATCACTCTAAGTTTACAGTATGAAGGCTGTTGGAAAAACATTTAATAACTAAAATCCAAATTACTGTTCTCTGAAAGCAAACTTTTGGGAAATTAAAACTCAGAAAGGTATGGACTGATGTTATGGTATAGCAGGCTAAGTTGTACTTGCATCCCATATGGGTGCAGGTTCAAGCTCCAGCTGCTTCACTTCCAATCCAGCTTTCTGCTCATGTCCTGGTAAAGCAGAGGATGGCCCAAACACTCAGGCTTCTGTCCCCTTATAGGAGACCTGGAAGAAGCTTCTGCCTCCTATCTTCAGACTAGCAGGGGAAAAATCTCTCTCTCTTTCGGCCTCTTCCCCTCTCTCTGTAACTCTGCCTTTCAAGTAAATTTTAAATAAACAAATCAATGAATAAAATAGTAAATGTCAAATACTGATACTGAAATTGAGGGTAATCCCAAAATGAGTAAAAAGAAAATGTACTGCAATTACAAAACAAGTGTTTTGGTCTTGTAACACATCCGCATACTTGTTTTAAATTTTTTATTAAATTATATCAGAATTCATATATCATCAGATGAATACATATTCCATAGTAATCCTTAGAATTCAGGGTACCAAATATTGTCTATGTAAACCAAATATGTATGATTTGTAAGCAAAAACAAATATGCTATAGCTAATTATGCATAAAAACATAAAGAGAATATATAATGTGAAACAGAGCAAAAAATATAATAGGTAGTTCAGCACCCAGATTAAAGCTTCTAAAAAGATTCCCATTTTATTTGAAAATTAAAAATAGAATCTTTTATTTTTATTTGTAAATCTTTCTTAAGCGTTAATTTATTTCACGTAAAAGTCAGAATTACAGAGAGGGAGGGAAAGAGAATTTTTCGACCCATTGACTCACTCCCGAAATGGCCACTTTGGCTAGAGTTGACCTGGTCTGAAACAGTGAGCCAGAAGCTTCTCCTGGGTTTTCCTTGTGTGTACAGGGGCCCAAGGACTTGGCCATCCTCTACTGCTTTCTCAGGCCATAAGTAGAGAGCTGTATCAGAAGCAGAGCAGCTGTGAGACAAATTGTTGCCTGTCTGGGACGCAAGCGCCACAGGCTGAGGAGCAGCCACTATAACACAGTGCGAGTCTAGTCACACTAGTGATAGATAATTCCTATTACTTAGAGGATGATACAACCTATGAAATTACACAAAAATCTCTTACAAGAATTTCACAGTTTTACATCTTACATTCTGACAGAAAAAGCAATTAAACTGAAAACAAAATATGAAAATTACATGAGAAAAGCAGTAGGGAAGTTAATGGTAGTGCTCTTGTAATAGTATTAAGCAAATACTCATCATTGTGTGCCAGCTATTGGTTTAATGGCACTGTACTCGTCTAATTCCCACCATAACCTTACAATCCTTCATAGCTGAGGAAACAGGCATAAGATTAATTAACTTCCCCTGTTCATGTAACTGCTCAATGGCAGTACCAACAACCCATATGGATGTCAGCTTCAATTCTGGCTGTACTAATTCCAATCCAGCTTCTTGTTAAGGCATCTGGAAAAGCAGCAAAAGACAGCCCAGTGGTAGGCCCTCTTGCAACGACATGTTTAGAGTCAGAAAAACCTTCTTCTGGCACCTGGCTTTGGCCATTGTGGCCATTAGAGGAGTAAATCACTGGATTGAAGCTATCTCTGTTCTAACTCTGCCTTTCAAATAAAATAAATATCTTAAAAACAAAAAACAAACAAAAACCAGAAAAAAAGTCCTGCCCATATCCCAGTAGCTTTTAAAAAAAGGCAGATTTTCAGCTCCTAATTATATTACATTAGGACTGAAACAAAGTACATGAATATATATTACACAGTTATCTTGAAATCCACTGATTTTTTAAGACCTTATTATTTTTTAACTCTACATCATGGAAAAATTAAAATGCTATCTTTAACCTACTAAGTCTCAAGTTAATCAATTCTATGAATTGCAAGGTATTCCTATTTTAAAATAACACTAACTAGTATATTTACTGCTCAGTTTACATCTTCATGTGCATTTACTCCATAAATAGCGCAGTTGGACATAATGGGTTAAAATGCAATAGAAGGGCCCAGCGTGATAGCCTAGCAGCTAGTTTTTGCCTTGAATGCCCAGGATCTCATATGGGTACAAGTTCTAATCCCAGTGGCCCCACTTCCCATCCAGCTCTCTGCTTATGGCCTGGGAAAGCAGTGGAGGACAGCCCAAAGCCTTGGGACCCTGCACCCATGAGGGAGGCCTGGAAGAGGCTCCGGGCTCCTGGCTTCGGATGAGCTCAGCTCCAGCTATTGCGGCCACTTGGGGAGTGAATCAGCGAATAGAAGATCTTCCTCCCCTTCTCTCATCCTCTCTCCTGTATATCTGACTTTGCAATAAAAATAAATAAATCTTAAAAAAAAAAAAACACACCACAGAAAAACTATGACTCTGAAGCAAAATATGATAACATGATTAACTACCCAGGATCTCTGAGCTTATCATGTATTGTAAAAATAGTAACAAATTTTAGTTAATCTGAAATACTAAAGTTTATTGGCAAGGAAAATAGTTTTATGGTTCAGAGTGACCAGAAACTCTGCAAGTACAAATTTACTTCTGCAGTTTGAGCTAGGTAGGCTGCAAACACATTTATTCAGTATAAAGTGACATAAGTTGGGGTTGTCAAGATTTAATCACATCCAGAAATCCCATCTCTTAATTCCACCAAGATGGGGTTAGGTTTCAACATGAATTCTGGTAAAGACACTTCAGCAATCTCCTTTAGCATCCATTCAAATGCAGATACTTTCCAAAAAACACCACAGATCAACTAATTTGATGTTTTTGCTCAAAAATCTAAAATAGCATTACAGTTTTCTGGATTTCTGTCTCATTTAAAATTTAACTCAGAACCTTCACTGCATCGTGTGGTGCTGTGTGATGGAATTTCCGGCTACTTCACAATACCACTTCTCCCACCTGTCTACCCCAGCTTTATTTGGTCCTGCCCATAGTAGCTATTGTGGGAGCGACCCAGAAGGCAGAATATCTCTTTCTGCATACTCCTTATCTCCCAAATCAGAAATATATCTGTTGATTAAAAAGTTCCCTATGTAATATGCTCTGAAAGCTTCTATTGCAGCAACATAAAATTCATCCTCTTCAGATCACCTTGCAAAAAACCTTTTATGACCAGATGCCAGTATATCCCCAAACCCCTCTTTTCATATTCTCCCCTTTGCTAAACTCTAACTGCTGTGGCTACTCTTTCGTGTTTTCCATTTATGCCAAATTCCTTCTTGTATAACTTAGCGGTCTCTTCCCTAACCAGAAAGGCTATTATGATCATAGCATGGTTGATTGCTTTCCCTTTAGTTCTTGTTAAAATGCTAGACTCTCAGATGAACATGTACCTGTACACCAACATTTAGCACTACTTAGTACTTCATGTTTCACTTGTCATTAGTTTTTGCCTCATCAAATTGTAAACTACACAGTAGAGGGATTTTCTGTTTTATTTGCCACATTACCCATGGGGAATCAATGGATGGATGACCCCTCCATCTTTCCTTCTCCCTAACTTTGCCTTTCAAATAAATAAATCTTAAAAAAAAAAAAAACCTGAAACATCTAGTCCATTAAAATTCAGAAATTCCAAAGTTATTATACTGTCTAAGTAATTTTTAGTAAATGTTTCTTGAAAAACTTCATTAAAATGTGACAAATATTAGTTACTTTCATTTTATAGCAAAGTAATGTTCCTACTGGTTATGCTAGTTACTTCACTGTAGATCTTCTGACTCCTATTCCAGTATTATTCCAACAGGAATGTAAAGTCAGAAGAGGGCAGAGATTTCTGCTTGCTCCTAGAAAAGTATGTGGCACAGAAAGGCATTTAAATATATACTGACTGTATTAATGAGTAATTTCCACTAAGCATGAAAAGCCAAATCAGTGTACAACAATCAGTAAAACTCAAAGGCTATTATAAAATTAAATGTAATTGATGACTTTTCAATTATTTTAAAAACAGTGCCTACATTTAAGTACAGAATACCAAAACTGTGTTATACGTATGATGGTATGAAATTATGTGATGTCTATTTAAAGCAGTACTACTAAATACACCTTAAGGACAAAAGTAGCCATTTATAAGTTTCAAATTAAAAAGATATAAAATGACAACAGATCTTTAAAAGTTCATAAAAATGCTTATTATGCAACTGATAAATGCGTAATTTCAAAACCTTTTTTGCACCAAAATAAACATCTAGTCCGTTTTTCCATAGTTTTTGAAGCTCCTATATCTGACAAGAAGTAATGGTTTACTCAAAGAAAAAAAAAAGGCAACAGGAAACCATTGTTTACTTCTGTGGAAACCAGTAATAAAATATTTGCACAAGCCATTAATTTAAAAGCATTTACATTCACAAAATATACTTAAATTTTTTCTGGGAGGATTATCTCAGCATTTAGGGATTTATTAAGATGGAATATATACATCTTATAAAATATTACAGGTTACCAATTTCATCTCATCTACACTTTTCATTCTGTAATTTCAGCACTATAATTTAAGAGAATTATACAGAAACCAATTATACAAAAATGTTGCTTTAACACAAAAGTTTAACCAATTTAGAGGACAGCACAGGATTGCCAAACAGACTTCTGAACATCTCAAGGGAGCCAGGAAAACACTCACAAGCAAACACATCCACATATGGAAAAAAATTCCCCCAACATATCATATGCAGGAGAAGCTCCCACTATGGATGCCTGTTTTACAAAAATTACAACTGTTTATTATGTAAAAAAAAAAAAGCCCACAATATGTTCTTAAATTTTTTCATGCCAGGTAAGTCATTTAGAAAGCTCCTAAAGCACTGCCAACATGCCTAAGAAAGAACTAAAGATATTCACAAAATTGTTAGATTTTTTTTTGAGCTAGAACAAAATATATTTGATCTATAAAGCCATAACACTACCTTAAGGTATTTTCATTTCATCCAACCTAATCTCTTCAAATGTAAAAACAGGACATCGTCATTGAAATATAGCAAGAATGATTCTGATGATTTAACTGAAAACAACTTTATAACCCAAGCATTAAAACATTATATGTTCAAAGGAAAGTCATATCAGTGTAAGTATGTGAATTATTCATGGAAAAACACATATTAAGAACTATATCAAAACAACATTTTCATAAATCCAGTTTGATATTGTACTATTAATGGGTTTCATTTTACGAAGAATATGAGCTTTAATGATAAACTCTAATCCAATGAATAGTTTCAAAGTATATACTCTGGAATTTCATTGCTACATCCATGCTCTAATTTCATCAATATTAAGCTTACCTTTCTTTTCGGTCCAGACTGCTTAAAACATGAAAAAAGAAAAAAAACGTAAGAGGCAAGACCTCACTGTAGATATATCACCGCAGTCGTAGTAACTGTAGTTAATAAGGCAGAACTATAATGTGGTCAATGTGTTACAAATACAATTCATATATATACATATATTATATAATACATTATGAATCTTATCTAAATTATTTTCCAACTTTCATTAACACAAAATAATTACAAGTCATATATTTAAAAGGAGGAAAAATGGATATACAAAAATATGAAAATTCTTGAAAGGGCTTTATTTATTAAACCTTCAAGGATATGTTATTTTGGAAGGGTTATGCAAAGTGTTCTAAGATACAAAGACTCAAAAAACTTAAGAGGTTTCTAATTCTATTAACAGAATGATTATTTGTTTTTGAGTTAAAGAAACCTTTTAAGATTTATTGAACTTCTGCCCAAAGTCTTAAACACAGTATGTGACTTGGGACACAAGGAAAGCCCAGGCTTTAAAATCATGGTCTCTAACAAGAATCCAATACATAAGTCCCAGCCTTCTACACAGTTCAAGTTGAAGTTCAAAAAATGTTAACATTAATTAATCAAAAGTAAATCTACACAAACCCTCCACTTAGAATTAAATATTCACACCATATTATTCTTTATTTAAAAGGAACTAAATAGTCAAAACTGAAATGAATGTTATTTACAAAATATTAAATTCACATTAATAAAATGCACAGCATATAAGTAAAACAGTAATTTAGTCTTAGAAAATTAAGGTAAAATATGGCAACTTGTTTTTACATACAAAAGAAACATGTTTTTTAAAAGTTGCATTAGCATTATACTTGAAATTTCATCTTGATTATTAAACCTGAGAACAATATGAATAAAACCAATTCATGCTGGAAAAATGTCAGGAAATCAGGGGAATATTATACTCAAGTTGGTATTTTGTTCTAACAGGTTAAATTGTCCCTTGGGAAACTGGCATTCCATGTCAGATGGCCATTTCAATTTCTGGTTATTCCACTTCCAAACCAGCTACCTGTTAACACGCCGGGGAAGGCAGGGAAAGATGGGCCAACTGCTTGGATCCCTGTCACCCACCAGGGTGATCAAAATGGACTTACTGGTTCCTGGGTATGAACCAGCAGATGAAAAAGCATGCTTTCTCTCATCTGTCACTCTGCCTTCTAAACAATCTTTAAAAATAAAGGAAGACAAAATATAAACATTAAAGCTTAGATACAGTCCACTTTATATATTCTTATTTCTTAAGAAATTATATTTACAGAAAAGGTAAATTGAAAAGCCACTTCAGGTATAAATGTCAATCTAGCCATTTCCAACTCCTCACTTTGGAGTTCCAAGTTTAGTGTTCTCTTGTTTTTTAAACCTATCTACACAGAGGAAATGGAAAGCAAAAACAGAATGGAGATAAAAGAAACCAAGTTTGGTCCTTCCCAACAAAATGTAGTTAGGAAGAACAATAACAAAAATAAACATACAATATATTTTTGTTAATGTTGAGAAAAATACAGTTATCATGATATGGTATCTAATTTATAAGTTGTGGTATTCTATGATAGTCTTTGATTAATATCATGTTCTGCCCAAGGAAAAGCTTACTTTTTAATTTTTTGAAAATTTGGGCCAGCACAATGGCTCAGCTGGGTAATCTTGTGTCTAAAAGTGACAGCATTCCATAAAAGGCACCAATTCATGTCCCAGCTGCTCCAATTACCATTCATCACCTGGAAAGGCAGTGGAACATGGCCCAGAGCCATGGGACTCTGCATCTACGTGGGAGACCAGGAAGAGTCTCCTGGCTCCTGACTTCAGATTGGCTTAACTCTGGCCACTACAGTCATTTGCGGAATCAACCATCTTTCTCTCTGTCTCTCCTCCTCTCTGTACATCTTTCCAATGAAAATAAAAATCTCAAAATTTTTTCAAAAGTTAGGAGATGTAATTATTATTAATGAAGGACTTTGAAAACTGTCAACTTACACTCTTGTTGGAATATTCCAAACACAATGGAAAGGATTACCTTGAACTGGCATAAAACTAATATCAAAAATAAAAAAGGGAGAAAAAAACAGACTAACTGATTAATTCTCACATCCATGACCGATTTTACAATTTCAAAAACTTACAGTGGCACTTTTGTTAATAATCAAAATTTGCTGCTTTCAGGAGCCCATATTCCTTCTTATGAGCCCATTATAAATGCTACTGCAGACATTCACTTTTCCACAAGTGTTACCAACCAAGATTATTCTTTATATATTAAAAAATAATACACTTATGGGCTGGTGCTGTGGCATAGCAAGTTAAGCTTCACTACCTGTAAAGCCATCCAAATGATCAACTACAGTCCTGGCTGCTCCACTTCTGACCCAGCTCACTACTAATACATCTGGGGAATTCGTGGAAAATGGTGCCAAGTACTTGGGCCCCTACCACCCATGTAGAAGACTGAGATGAAATTATGGGCCCGTGGCTTTGATCTGGTCCACACCTAGCCACTGTAGCCATTTAGAAGGTGAATTAGCAAGTGGAAGGTCTCTAGGTAACTCTAGTTTTCAAATAAATATTAATTTAAATTAAATTAATTAATTTAAATTTAAGAGCCCCCAACTCCTGAAGTCGAAACTACAATAACAAAACCTCTTCCTGATTTATTTTTTAGGAAACATGTATGAAGCACTTGTTAGCATTCTTTCTAAAGAATTACAAATTACTCAGAAGAATGTCTGACTTACAAGACAAGCTCTACCACTCACCATAAGAATGTCTTGTGTGTGAATTTCCAAATGACAGCATAATTTTTAATTTCAAACTAAGACTGGATTAAGTAAAAATTTCAGGAAAAGCTATAAATGTCAGTGTGTCTACCCTCACATAAGGTCTGGTAATTATGTCAACTATTTGACAGCAACCAGATTAGGTAATACTGCTGTGTCTCTGATGATTCCAACTGCACAGAAAGTCCTACTTGTACACCTCATATATACACAAGCTCCTTTAACACTTTGCATACTTTGTATATATCTCTACTCCTACAATAACTATACAACCAGTTGTTTTTCTTTCTCTACTCTAATAAGCTACAAGGGTATACAGTTGGTCAAATTCTTCTTGGAACATCCTTCACCATATCTACATATGACATACAGCATAAAATCAATCAAATACTTTTATAAGAAAGCTGAAAATACTTTCGTTGACTTGTCTGTGAATTTTAGAATCATTTTAGTAATAATAGTCATTCTATAGGTAAAGTAAAAAATGTTCATATTTCTAGGAATAAATAAAAGGCAAACCTAAATGGAATCTGCTTTACTAATGCCTTCACTGCATAGTTAATTCTCCTAGTTTTCTTGCCAGATGTTTTTACTCAGCATTGCTTCTTTAAACACAATAAATTCAATTTAAGAGACAACATTGTACTAGCAAATATGAATTCTTATTTAACTGAATGCATTCTTTTACAAAGATGAAATGAAGTACAAAATCTAGCAGATACTAAAACTCAGAATAAAAGAAAACACAACTCAATTTCCAGACTAATCTTTACAGACATTACTAATGAGGAAATGAGGGATGGGAAAAATAGTTTACTATGCAAATAATCCCAAACTAACAAGTAATCCACAAGCCCCTGTCAAAAGCAATAGAAATTTAAAATTCAATCTTAAAATAGACCATCATCAGTTTTATTTTTTTATTATAAATTTAAAATTTATATTTCAACTTTTCAGTATTTCAACACTTTGACAATATCAGAAAGATTTTCATCAATGTTTTTTATTGGTATGTTCACTGAATTAAGAGTATGACTCCTGGGCCTGGTGCAGTAGTCTTGTAGCTAAAGTCCTCACCTTGAAGGCCCAGGACCCCATATGGGCTCCGGTTCGTGTCCTGGAGGCCCCGCTTCCCATTCAGCTCCTGCTTGTGGAGCTTGCTCTCTCCCTCTCTGTACCCTGCTGTTTCTCACTGCTTTTAAAATGAGCATTGCACACACGTACTAAGCAAAAGCAATCTGACTGTTTACCTTTGGGCTGCTGTTTTCACTCCTGGTATCTGTGCATGAGCATGATGAAAGCGTCTACCATGAACTACAGTTCCAGAACACAATGATGTATTTTGTGTATTTTCACTGCAGAGACAAGAAATAATGATTAGTCTGAAAAAGAAAAAGTTTGCATACATATAGACAAAATAAATCCTTTTCAATTTCAGCACAAACACAAAAGCTTCATCACTTAAAAACTATTTGTAGAAAAAGCCAACAATGTAAAACTGTCTAGTAGAAGCTTTTAATTTTCCTGAATTTGCCTTTCATATGCTTCGAACCAAGAAAAGAAAAAACAACAGCAGAATATAAATCAGATGTGCTAAATTCTGATTCTGCCACTAAAAAGATACTTAGTCTTTATGTACTTGCACTGTCTAGCTATAATTTAACAAATTGAAAATAAAATGACATTGACTAACACTGTGAGCTAGTAGGCTAAGCCTCTACCTGTGGTACAAGCATCCCACACGGGCACTGGTTCAAGTCCTGGCTGCTATGCCTGGAAAAGTAACGAAAGATAACCCAAATCCTTGGGCTCTTGCACCCAGGAAAAACTGACTCCTGGCTTTTCAACTGGCTCAACTCTGCCCATAGAGGTCATTTAGGGAGTGAGCTAGCAGATGAAAGATCTCTCTCCTCTCTGTGTAAGTCTGCCTTTCGAATAAAAATAAATCTTTAAAAATAAATAATGCAAACTGATGTGTGGCACAGGATGTAGTACTGCCATCCGTGATGCTGGCATCCCGTATGTCTGCCAGTTCATGTCCCCACTGCTATACTTTGACCCAACTCCTTGCTAAAGAACTTCAGAAAAGCAGTAGTAGACGGCTCAAGTACTTGGGTGACCTGTCACAACAGAGAGCTGCATGACTCTCCTGGCTTCTGGCTTATGCTAGGCTTAATCTTGGCCAAACTGTGGCCACCTGGTAAGTGGTCCTGAGGATAGAAATATCTGTCTTTCCCTCTCTTAATTTCAAATAAAAATAAATAAGCCTTTTAACAATTAAGGATTTATAATCCCATTTCTGGGTTGCTACTGATAGCTGTGTAAGTACAGAGTATAAGCACAAAAAGGAGAGACACATCTCACACAGCGAGAAATCTTGAAAAAAAAAAAAACATGCCCGTTACTGAGATAATCTTCTTTACCACCTCCTAAATTAACTATAGCCTACTTTAGGGTGCATTCTACTTTCAATACTAAGACTTTACTAGGAAAGCAAACTCATGAGATTACTGCAATCAATCTTAAGATTCAAAACTGATACCACTCTTCTTAGCAGCACTACCAAGAAATTAAGAAATTTATAGGCTAGAACTATCAGCCACAAAGATCATCAGCTTTTGGTGTTAAACTGTAGAAAACTGTGAGAAAGTGCAATGGAATGAATATACCTCAATTTCTTATTGTTGTTCAACATGTTAAGTCCAATTGCATTCCCTTTTAAGGTTTTAAAACTTTCACTCTTGTTTCGTCTTACATATGTCTTCAAGACGAAATCACCAGAACTGGTAGCAACGATTTCAGATCGACGACTTAACTGTAAAAAGATGAATAAATGCTATAGTCAATGAAATTCATATTATGATGATTTATCAACAACTATTTGAAAATTCACTTTATCTTTCTTTTTGTAAAGATTTGTGTGTTTTTTTAGGAATTTATTTATTTTTATTGGAAAGTCAGATAGACAGATAGGAGGAGAGATAGAGTGGAAGATCTTCTGTCTGATGATTCACTCCCCAAGCGACTGCAACGGCCAGAGCTGAGCCAATCCAAAGCCAGGAGCCAGGAGCTTCTTCCCAGTCTCCCACGCGGGTGCAGGGTCCCAAGGCTTTGGGCTGTTCTTTGACTGCTTTCCCAGGACACATGCAAGGAGCTGGATGAGAAGCAGGGCTACTGGGATTAGATCACGCACCCATATGGGATCGCGGGCAACAAGGTGAGGACTTTAACCACTATGCTATCATGCCTAGCCCACAAAAATTTGTTTTACTTGAAGGCAAAGTGATAACAGAAAATGAGAGACAAACAAAGGGATCTTCATCTAATGCTCAGTTTCCAAATGGCCACAATGCTCAGGGTTAGGCATAGCTGAAGCCAGAAGCAAGGAACTCCCAGAGGGTCTCTCATGGGGATGGAGGAGGTCATTTTCCATTGACTTCCCAGGAGCACTAGCAGGGAGCTGGATTGGAAGCAGAGTAGTCAATTCAAACCAATACCAATGCAGGACACTTAAGCTGGTACCACAGATAGTGGCTATTCTACCGTAACAGCAGTCCTAAGTGCTCCCTGCTAAAGCACTGAGAAAAGCAGCAGAGGATTGCCCAAGTGCCTTGAACCTACATGCAGGTACCCAAAGAAGTTTCTGCTGCCTGGCTTCAGCCTGGCTCAGCTCAGGTTATTGCAGCCTTTTAAAGGAAATGAATCAGAGGGTGGAAGATCTTGTCTCTTTCTGTCATTCATTCTCTCAAACTGCCTTTTATTTAAAGGATCATGGAACTTTTATTATTATTTTCTCTTCATATAAATGATATTCAGAAAATTATGGGAGGGACTCTTCAAACGGCTTCATCCAGAGATTTCAAAAAATAAGTATTTTCCTACTCTCATAAAACTTTGCTCTCTGATAAACAGTACTACTCTATATGGCAATCAGCTGTCATTTCAATGTGTCCTTTTCTACATGGACTTTTGCCTAAGCCTGAAAATTTCTATATAAACACAGAAATCAATATATAATCTTCATACTTCCAGAGTTATAAACATATAAAGATCAATTATCTTCGGGAAATCACAATTTTACAGGATGCCTCCTTTTCCAACAAAGAAAACTACCTTTTTACATCCCCTGCTTAAGATATTTTAAAGTAGCTTTCAGAAATGGCATAATGACTAAATCCTCACCTTGCAAGTACTGGGATTCCACAAGGGTGCCAGTTTGTGTATCAGCTGTTCCATTTCCCATCCAGTACCCAAGGCCTTAGGACCCTGCAGCAAGGCAGGAGACCCAGAAGAAACTCTTAGTTCCTGGCTTTGGATTGACATAGCTCTGGCTGTTGCAGCCATTTGGGAAGTGAACCAGTGAACAAAAGATCTTTCTGTCTCATCACTATAAATGACCTGCCTTTCCAATAATTAATAACTAAAACCTTTTTAAGGAAAATTGTTTTCAGATTGTAACAAAAAGGACTTTAGTTCCCTCTGCTCATAGTAATAATTTCTCCAAACTGACATTTTTTAAACAATAGTTAACTTTTAAAAAAATATTCATTCTAACTGGAAAGGTATATTTATAGAAAGAAGAGACAGAGAGGAAAATCCTCCATCCACTGGTTCACTCCCCAAGTAGCCACAATGCTAAGAGCTGAGCCAATCCAAAGCCAGGAGCTTCTTTTAGGTCTCCCACATAGGTGCAGGATGCCAAGGCTCTGGGCAATCCTCTACTGCTTTCCCAGGCCATAAGCAGGGACTACAACATTGGAACTACAACAGCTGGGACATGAAATGGCACCTACATGGGATCCTGGGACCTGCAAGGCAAGGATTTAGCCACAAGCCTTTTGTACTAACAACTAGGCTATAACACTAGGACCTATCCCTACTTTTTCTTATTAAAAATTTTTTTTAAATAATGATGATGTTTACATAATTGATCAGGGTGGGAAGGGTCGAGGATCAGAGGGCAGTAAGTGAGACCCTTGTTTATATATTTTGTTCTTCCCATATATGGGGAAGAGGGGGATACAAAAGGAGAAACCATGCCCAGCTTTCTAACTGTCGCATTAACGAAGAGATTGGGGAACTGCCACCCGATATTATCCCACGTTCCCCATTGTGGAGCATTTTCGGAGGGTTCTGTTCATATGTTTTCAATAGTTCTGAGATGCTACGGATATCACTGCTCCACAGATGGAGGAAATCTTTCCGAGGTTAACTGGCTGTCATAGCCCACCTCCGAGTTTCCTTTGGCCCAGCAGTTTGCTGTCAAATTTTACTTGGGTAATTGATCAATTTGTTTGGCCCTCTTTCCTCAATAAACCAATGGGTGCTATAGCCCAGCCCAACCTTATCTAACACATGCTCGGCCCTCACATATCAGAGAGAGTTGCAGCTCAGTCAGAGCAACCCCCAGTAACCCAGCTCTGGCTCTTGTGCCTGCCAACATGTACAGTGAACTGGTCAGGTGTGCCCCATATCCCATTGGGATCTTGTATATATCACTGGGCATTGAAGTCTAACTCAATTGAACCAACTTCACCCTCCAGCACACACTCATGCAACCAGGTGCCACTGCCTGTCCAACCAGGCCCACCCCCCAGTCCTGGTTCTCGTTCTCACCAATGGGAGGTTGCAGCTCTTTAGAGAGATGCCTACAATTCCTCCACTGGATCTATGCCTACCCTGGATCTCACTTTCCAGCTGGTTTTGCATTCTAGCTTGACAAGCCTTGCCATCAAGTCCTAGCACGAGCCACATGATGCTGTGGCAAACCCCAACTCACCTGCCCACACTCTGCACCATTGGCTCATGCCTGCACCAGTGGATACACTTGGCTACCCCAGCCTGGCTCTCCCCCTAACCCGGCTGACAGGTGTTATAGCCCTGCCTCGAGTAGTCTGCCCCCAAATCCAGCTCTCACACTCACCAGCATGAGTGGTGACCCAGCAGGGGAGTTCCGATTATTCCAATTCCAGGCTCAACCCCCTGTCCTGGTCTCACATGTGCTACTGGGTGCTGTGCCCCAGTTTGGTGTAGCCTGTGTCACCTTGGCATTTCCTGGCGGGTACTGTAGTCTGGCCTGGCCTGGTCTGCTCCCAGTCCAGCTCATGCTGGTTGGATCTGTCGCCCAACCCGGTGCAATCAGCCCCCAGTGCTGGTCCTAATGTGAATTGATGCAGCCAGACCCAGACCATCCTTCACCCCATCCTGATCTCAGATCTGCCAGTGGGTGTTACGAACTGGCCCAGCCTGGACCGCCCCCCTATCTGAGCCTCATGTATGCTGGCAGGTACTGTAACCTGGTCTGCTCTCGGCTGCTCCTTGCTTTGGTTCCTGCGTTCACCTGTAGGGAACGTACCCTGAAAAAGGAGTTCCCTAAGTTCCTCTATTGGGTCTCCTCTCAGTGTTGCATCTTGTACACACTGGCGGATCCCTGGTCCGGGTTGAGTTAATCCACCTCCTGCTCTGGCAGGAACAGTAGCCTTGCCCAACTGGCCCACACCCAATCCGGTTCTTATTGTAGGGTGTTACAGCCCAGCCACATTTGGTCTGTGCCCTGAAGCAGCTCTCATATGGCCCAGTGGGAGCAGAAACCTAGCCCAAGCTGTCCCACAACCATTCTGGTTTTCACAAGCACCAGTGGATGCTGGAATATGGCCCAGTCAAGCACGCCTCAGAGACTGTTCATACCCATGCCAAGGAACAGTTGCAGCCAAGTCCATCCTAGACCACTCCTATCCTGGCTCTCATGCTCACCAGCAGGAACCAAAACCTAGCCGGGGCGTCCCCTAAACTCCCCAACCAGGTCCATGTCCAGCCCCAGATCTTGTCCATTCCCAGCCCTACCCCTACTTTTAAGACAAACCCACAGTAACCTAAAACATCACCTCTAAAATCCTCTTGAAAATAGAAGTCATGGTGCCAGCATCTTCCTTATTTTCTGGGATAGCTGGAGTCCCGAATCTAAAAGCATTTTTTACAGTGTGCATCATGCTCTTCTCCTTTAGACAAATCTTTACCTCCTACTCTTACCTGAGATGACACATCATCAGGGATAAAAAATCTAAGAGCTCTGTCCAGATTTCAGCTTTTTTCCCTTTTTCTCCTGTGAGGCAACTGTTGATTCCAAATGATATAACTGAGAGGCTGAGAAGCTGAGCAGAACTTCCAACAGACATACACAGCTGCATAAACCCTCATAATCTGGACAGGATTCCAGCCCACAGGATGAATCAGAACTATTACAGACTTCAAAAACTAAAATCCAGCTTCTACACATCTCAACTCCCAACTGGAAATAGTTCTCACACTTCCAGAGAACAAGAGCATCACAACAGGACAGTTTGATAAACCAAGTGCTGTGCGGCACCCTGAACTTTCTCCTGATTCAATGGGTCTACAGAGGGCCTCAGAATTTTTGCCCAGCAAGTCCTCAAGCAATGCTAAACTTCTGACCAAAGCCCTACATTTTGAGAACCACAGAATTCAGGTGATCTGAGATGAGAAATGCTTCCTGCAAGTTGTATGAATTCAAGTTCTTCATCCTCCTCAGTGTAGAAGATGGAGTGTTGGACAGCAGACCATGGTACACACGGAGGACACAGTATTGGGGCCTGCAGAGGACATTTGGTACCATTGCAGAGAATGGAGAACAGAACATATAAACAACTGTCTCAGCCAAGTGATGACAGCAAATATGTGGGTGACTGAAGATTTTAAGGTTGACTTTGTCAGTCAATAGACACTGGAAGGGATTCCTCATCCTTTGATCAGCGAGATTGACAGCATTTCTTTTTTTTTTTTTTAAGATTGATTTTA